TCCCCACCCCTTCCCACCAGGCGTGTGGTTGCAGGACCCTGACCTGGAAGAGCATCTTTGACGCCTCACACACACCTGAGTCTTATTTCCCTGGTTGCCTGCCCAACCTTTCCCCCTATTCACATCTCCGTCCCCATCCCGCTTGCACCCACCAGGCGTGTGGCTGCAGGACCCTGAAGTGTACCACATGAGCATCTTCCATGCCTCACACCATCTCTCACCCGTACCTGCCACCGCCAAACAGGTATGGCCGTACCCTCAAGTTTTCAGCGCGACTTTTTTCTTCTCTTTTGATGCTCTGAAGCAGCCGCACTCTGCTCATGTGTCTTGTCTCGTGTGTTGCTGCTGGTAACCATTCCGGTTCTTTTCTGTGTTGCCTGCACGGCTCCACACCGCAGTGCGTGCCCGTGCGTCATCAACCATATATTTCAACCTTTGCTCCTCCCCCTCTGTCATTCCCTCTGCTCTCCCCCGGTCCTCCCCTCCTTCCCTTTGCCTCCCGATTTCCTCCTTCTCTGCCAGCTAGCGGACGAGGTGCGGGCAGTGAAGGGCGTGAGCAAGCGGCTGTGCCCGATGCGTGTCTCGCTGGACCGGGTCATTCTCACTGCCACTGGCGTGCTGCTGGCGTGCTGGCAGGTGAAGCGTCACTCCTACCCACACAGTCCCACACGGACTGCTTGCATGCACATGGGTGTGTTAGCGTGTGGAGACTGTGTGGAGGAGAAGGCACGTACGTGTCAAAGGCGCATGCACTTGTGTGACGTGTCTACGGCGCGCTGGCTGTGAAATGTGTGTAAGGTTATGTTCTTTTGGCATGGCGTGTGTTTGGGTGAGTATGCGTGTGAAAGATGTATGCACTTGTGCGTGTTTCCCTGAATGCACGGCATTCTCACCACCGTTGCCGTGCTGCTCGCATGCTGGCAGGTGCAGCATCAATCGGGCCTGCGTGGACTTCTTGTATGCACATGTTCTATTGCTGTTTCCCCGCATCACACCGCACCTCATCAAACTGCACCGCACTGCACCGCATCTTACCTCCTTGCACCAGGTGGTGGAGGGCACGGATCCAGCAGAGCTGAGGGACGAGCTCAAGGAGGCTCTGCCCCGCGCTCCCAAGCAGCAGCTGGTGGGTGCCCTCCTTCCGCCCTGCTTCTCCTAATGCTGCTGCTGCTGCTGCCGCCGCCGCCGCCGCCGCCGCTGCTGCTGCTGTTCACATGCTCTCGTGTGTTTTGAGTCAAATCAGATTGCAGAGGCGAGCTGAGAGTGAGCTGCGGGATTGGCTGAGCGAATGGAATCCGCTTTGCATACCAAACCCACAGCGAGTGTATTGCTCTGTGTTGTCTGGCAGCACTACTCTAGCTCACTCACCTCCTGCCCCATAGCTCAACCTTCAAATCCGCCTCCCACAATCTCAACTCAACCTCCGGTACCCGTCTTTCCAGTGTCACATCTCGTCGTACCTGTACTTTATCTCTGAGCCTGCCTTTCCGACTCCTGTTCCTCCTGCGCTCCCCCTATATAATCATTTCTCACCTTGTCGTTAATGCACCTGTTCCCCCTCCCCCAGTACAACCGGGTCATGCTGCACACATCACTGGCACGGATACTTGCACCGCCCACATGGCCTGACGGGGTATGTATGTGTGCTGCATCAACGTATCCCCCTTGGGATGTTACAGTGTTACACCATGATGGAAGCAGAAACTGCATCATTCTGTTCAGTTTCATTCATCTTGTGCCTTGCATGGTCGTATCTCCAACCTTGTGTTGTTCTCGTCCGTTTCGCCTACAATCCTCTCTTACACACAGTCCTCCCTTCTCCTTTCTCATTCTTCACTCCTCACTTCACTTCTGGTTTATATTCCATGTCCCACTGCCACCAGACGCTAGCGCACAACGCCGAGTCAGCGATGCCCATCTTCCGCTCCATAGTCAGCGAGCTCAACCAGAAGCTCTGCCGCAAACAGGTGCACCCCTCTCCGCCTCCATCTCCCTGCTCCTTTTTCTTTCATCTCCCTCTCTCCACCACTGCTCCCTTTCCCATTGCTTCCTCTTTCTCCTCTCCTGTCCCAACCCCTTCATGCCATCAGCATACCGTCACTCCAGTCTTCACCCAAATCATTCCCTCCCGTCGTCATGTTGCTCCTCTTCCACTCTCGCTCATGCACATCAACCTCATCATCACCTCTACTACGGCATTGTCATACACACCTCTTCCTGTTGCCGTGTCATGCCATGCCATGCAGACGGTGGTGAGGGAGCTGTGGAACGTGGAGGAGATGGATGTGTTGGCGCTGGCGCTACAAGGCAAGATGAGCGTCAAGCGATTCAACCTCACGTGCATCCAACCAGACTGGGTTGGCACAATATAGTCCTGTTAGCTTTTACGCGTACCGCAACATGTTTATGTGAGGGTGTTGTCCCTCCCAAGTTACGGTAAAGAATCCTTTGTTCTTACCCATTTCAAATGTGTGTTGTACAAAGTTACCCCCATGCGCAAGTGCAAAACCAAAAAAAACATCCTCTGAATGCAAGCCTGTGCTGTGTAGACGCCCCTAGGGGCTTATCCTAATATTATGCAGAACGTCATGATTCTGTATTGATCCGTGCCATATGGGAATATTGAAGCCGATTTGAGACACCACGTAGTACCGAAGTAAACTCGCCTTAGAGCTGATGCCCTGGTTTCTTCTGGATAAGGTTTTCCTGCCACCCGGAATTTCCAATTCCAGACAACTTCTGCTCGCAATTCCCAGTGCCGCCAAGTTCGCCTGTTGTCAACCACACGATCCTATCAACAGAGAGACTATCGAGAATTGACCACCTTTCCCGCCTCGCAGCTCTCTATGGCCCAAGAATCTGTCAGCGCTCTTGCGGTGAGGCGAACCTATCGTCGCCTCGATGAAGTCCCGAGCCACATCAGCGCGGTTAGGCTCGGATATGCATTCCAGCCTGATCGCCACATTCCCCAGACTGGCTGTAGGATCCGTCAAACCGCATCCTTCACAAGCTCCTGGTGACTCTGCTACACCCCTTGCACAGCTTCCCTCTAGCAGTGCTTCACCTTCCGTAGGAACGCAGCGTCATAACCGTCAGCCTTAGATTCGACATTTCCGTGGTTCTTTCCTCTGCATTTGTCACCACAATTCTTCGTCCCCGTCGCCACGGTATCGCTAGCTCTCATCCACAATGGAGACTCTTCCCGCAGACCTCCTCTACGCCATTCTTCGCCGCGCCGAGCCAGCGGGGCCTTGCGTCTTAGCGCGGATTGCGTGCGTTTCGAAGACGCTCGACCGCATCGCGAAAGAGTCGCTATGGCAGTTGCTCTGCCGGGAGAGACTCTCCGATCTCCATGAGGAAGAACTCTCTCGCGAGACAAGGAGAGCTCGTTTGAAGGGTGATATTAACGAGGTCTCAACTATTGAAGCATTGTCACGCAATAAGTTTCGCTGTGTCTGGGAGTGGATGCATAGCGTTGACTTTAGAGCACTCTCTCAACTCATCCACTGTCGCCGAGGCGTTGTAAGGGGATGGTGGCGAGCAAAGGACGAGGATGAGTGTGGCAATGATGATCCGCGCATACGTTATAGCATCGTGAACATCTTCTTTGGTGTCACGCTCTTCTTTATTAAGTGCGGCTACAATCTAGTCCGACCGCACAAAAGCGAGGATGTTGTTTTGAGTCACGGACTTCTTCTTGACAGGTAAGGCCTTTTTTTTTTTTATCGTGCTTCATGATAGTACTCCGGAGGACATGTTTGTTTTGCTGCGTTCTCAGTATTCTCTCTCTCTCTCTCTCTCTCGAGAGAGAGAGAGAGAGAGAGAGAGACCCCCCCTCTCTCTCTCTCTTTCTTTCTTTCTCTCTCTCTCTCTCTCTCTCTCTCTCTCTCTCTCTCTCACGGTCTCTCTCTCTCTCTCTCTCTCTCTCTCTCTCTCTCTCTCTCTCTCTCTCTCTCTCTCTCTCTCTTTCTCTCTCTCTCCCTCTCTCTTTCTCTCTCTCTCATCCGTCCTTTTTTGGTCGGGAATGAGGGAGAATGGGTAGGAAATGGAGGGAAGAATGGGTGGGGATGGAGGGGAACAGGTGGAAATAGGGTGAACCGTGAACGGTTGGCAAATATGTAGGAATGGTTGGGGAATGGAGGACGAAGCATGGAGGCAGGGCAGGGGCTCGGCAGGGGAGGTAATGCGGGAGGGGGAGAGGGGCAGCTACAGCAACGGAGGTATGTGGGGAAGAATGAGAGGGCTCATCCGTAATAATATAAAGAGCAGGTTTACGTGGATGTAAGCCGCGTTGTGCTCTTTCCCCTCATAACATGCCACTGTAATTCAGCTCCGATTTAGTTATTACATGCGCTTGGTAAGCAGGTATAGCATTCAACAATGTTGGTCAGAACATGTGAGGCATTCGAACAAGTGTTTCTGTTTCGCCTTCCTTATAAGAATGGCCTGCATTTCCATGCCCCCTGCAGGTTTTATAATATGTTTTGTGAGCGTTCCTTCATACAAGATGAGTCATGCCGTTTCTGCTCCTCTAAGGTGTGTGTATATCGGTGCCGAGTTCGAAACTATGCATGAGAAGTGCGATTTCCTATATACGCAATTTCAGCTTCCCTCTTTGATCAAGTGGAGACATGGGCGGAATCATGTGGCTGGCAGGTGTGGGATAGTCGAGGAGAGTGGTACGCCAGCTCTGATATGAATGTTGAATGTAGCACCGGAATCGTCACTCACTATACCTGCACCCAGGTTTGCGTTCTACCATCAACCTGGACAACATGGCTTCCATCTCTATTCATATCATTACTCTTGAACTTCAAATACATGAAATAAGAATGAATATTTTGCAAAGCACCACGTCTTATCAACTTCTTATCAAGTAGAACCGTCCCTTGTCCGTAATGTGTCTTGTAGGGGCATTTTTACTCGACATTTATCCAAGATGGCGTTGACACGACAACGGGGGCAGTAGAGGGGAGGGAGGCTGAGGAGGGAGTGAAGGAGCAGATGATGCCAGGTAGCGAGAATGAGAATCAAGGGGACGAAGTTGTGATCAGAAATACCGCCAACCTTGTGAGTCTCTCAGCTTGTATTCTGCTTGCATGAAGCATTCGGTTTGCCAGGTGCATTCTGGCAGCCAGGTGCATTCTAACTGCCAATTGGCAGAGGTTTCTTAACACGGGTGGAACCGGATCAACTCGGTAAGAGGCAGATCTGCCTAGCTGAGACTGGATCAGACTGCGTGAAAACCGTTAGCCCCCACATTGAAGCTCTAGGAGTGGGCATGTCTGCCCTTCCCGGGAGATGATGGTGCCTCGGTAAGGAATGCATTCTTCCAGATGCTTTCAGTAAAATCTTCATGGCACTATCACCTCACCTCTGGTATTTTAAAAGATGCAACTTGCAGAGGTCTCTTTTCCTTACCGTTACAATAAGACTTTGCCGAAATCTGCAAGTGCGGCCTTATTTGATTCTCTTCCATTTTCTCTTTCTCCCCCCCACTTCATCGTTAACGCGGTTCAGCCTGTGGCTGCAACGTCTGCCGCAGGGCCGCCATCAGCTGCAGGCAGTCATGCTTCTCCTCCTGCTGCTACAACCATTCGGACCCCAACTGCTACAGCTGTTAGTGCTACAACCATTCGGACCCCAACTGCTACAGCTGTTAGTGCTACAACCATTCGGAACCCAACTGCTACAGCTGTTAGTGCTACAACCATTCGGACCCCAACTGCTACAGCTGTTAGTGCTGCAACCATTCGGACCCCAACTGCTACAGCTGTTAGTGCTACAACCATTCGGACCCCAACTGCTACAGCTGTTAGTGCTACAACCATTCGGACCCCAACTGCTACAGCTGTTAGTGCTACAACCATTCGGACCCCAACTGCTACAGGTGTTAGTGCAACAACCATTCGGACCCCAACTGCTACAGGTGTTAGTGCTACAACCATTCGGACCCCAACTGCTACAGGTGTTAGTGCAACAACCATTCGGACCCCAACTGCTACAGCTGTTAGTGCTGCAACCATTCGGACCCCAACTGCTACAGCTGTTAGTGCTGCAACCATTCGGACCCCAACTGCTACAGCTGTTAGTGCTGCAACCGTTCGGACCCCAACTGCTACAGCTGTTAGTGCTGCAACCGTTCGGACCCCAACTGCTACAGCTGTTAGTGCTGCAACCGTTCGGACCCCAACTGCTACAGCTGTTAGTGCTGCAACCGTTCGGACCCCAACTGCTACAGCTGTTAGTGCTGCAACCGTTCGGACCCCAACTGCTACAGCTGTTAGTGCTGCAACCGTTCGGACCCCAACTGCTACAGCTGTTAGTGCTGCAACCGTTCGGACCCCAACTGCTACAGCTGTTAGTGCTGCAACCGTTCGGACCCCAACTGCTACAGCTGTTAGTGCTGCAACCGTTCGGACCCCAACTGCTACAGCTGTTAGTGATGCAACCGTTCGGACCCCAACTGCTACAGCTGTTAGTGCTGCAACCGTTCGGACCCCAACTGCTACAGCTGTTAGTGCTGCAACCGTTCGGACCCCAACTGCTACAGCTGTTAGTGCTGCAACCGTTCGGACCCCAACTGCTACAGCTGTTAGTGCTGCAACCGTTCGGACCCCAACTGCTACAGCTGTTAGTGCTGCAACCGTTCGGACCCCAACTGCTACAGCTGTTAGTGCTGCAACCGTTCGGACCCCAACTGCTACAGCTGTTAGTGCTGCAACCGTTCGGACCCCAACTGCTACAGCTGTTAGTGCTGCAACCGTTCGGACCCCAACTGCTACAGCTGTTAGTGCTGCAACCGTTCGGACCCCAACTGCTACAGCTGTTAGTGCTGCAACCGTTCGGACCCCAACTGCTACAGCTGTTAGTGCTGCAACCGTTCGGACCCCAACTGCTACAGCTGTTAGTGCTGCAACCGTTCGGACCCCAACTGCTACAGCTGTTAGTGCTGCAACCGTTCGGACCCCAACTGCTACAGCTGTTAGTGCTGCAACCGTTCGGACCCCAACTGCTACAGCTGTTAGTGCTGCAACCGTTCGGACCCCAACTGCTACAGCTGTTAGTGCTGCAACCGTTCGGACCCCAACTGCTACAGCTGTTAGTGCTGCAACCGTTCGGACCCCAACTGCTACAGCTGTTAGTGCTGCAACCGTTCGGACCCCAACTGCTACAGCTGTTAGTGCTGCAACCGTTCGGACCCCAACTGCTACAGCTGTTAGTGCTGCAACCGTTCGGACCCCAACTGCTACAGCTGTTAGTGCTGCAACCGTTCGGACCCCAACTGCTACAGCTGTTAGTGCTGCAACCGTTCGGACCCCAACTGCTACAGCTGTTAGTGCTGCAACCGTTCGGACCCCAACTGCTACAGCTGTTAGTGCTGCAACCGTTCGGACCCCAACTGCTACAGCTGTTAGTGCTGCAACCGTTCGGACCCCAACTGCTACAGCTGTTAGTGCTGCAACCGTTCGGACCCCAACTGCTACAGCTGTTAGTGCTGCAACCGTTCGGACCCCAACTGCTACAGCTGTTAGTGCTGCAACCGTTCGGACCCCAACTGCTACAGCTGTTAGTGCTGCAACCGTTCGGACCCCAACTGCTACAGCTGTTAGTGCTGCAACCGTTCGGACCCCAACTGCTACAGCTGTTAGTGCTGCAACCGTTCGGACCCCAACTGCTACAGCTGTTAGTGCTGCAACCGTTCGGACCCCAACTGCTACAGCTGTTAGTGCTGCAACCGTTCGGACCCCAACTGCTACAGCTGTTAGTGCTGCAACCGTTCGGACCCCAACTGCTACAGCTGTTAGTGCTGCAACCGTTCGGACCCCAACTGCTACAGCTGTTAGTGCTGCAACCGTTCGGACCCCAACTGCTACAGCTGTTAGTGCTGCAACCGTTCGGACCCCAACTGCTACAGCTGTTAGTGCTGCAACCGTTCGGACCCCAACTGCTACAGCTGTTAGTGCTGCAACCGTTCGGACCCCAACTGCTACAGCTGTTAGTGCTGCAACCGTTCGGACCCCAACTGCTACAGCTGTTAGTGCTGCAACCGTTCGGACCCCAACTGCTACAGCTGTTAGTGCTGCAACCGTTCGGACCCCAACTGCTACAGCTGTTAGTGCTGCAACCGTTCGGACCCCAACTGCTACAGCTGTTAGTGCTGCAACCGTTCGGACCCCAACTGCTACAGCTGTTAGTGCTGCAACCATTCGGACCCCAACTGCTACAGCTGTTAGTGCTGCAACCGTTCGGACCCCAACTGCTACAGCTGTTAGTGCTGCAACCATTCGGACCCCAACTGCTACAGCTGTTAGTGCTGCAACCATTCGGACCCCAACTGCTACAGCTGTTAGTGCTGCAACCATTCGGACCCCAACTGCTACAGCTGTTAGTGCTGCAACCATTCGGACCCCAACTGCTACAGCTGTTAGTGCTGCAACCATTCGGACCCCAACTGCTACAGCTGTTAGTGCTGCAACCATTCGGACCCCAACTGCTACAGCTGTTAGTGCTGCAACCATTCGGACCCCAACTGCTACAGCTGTTAGTGCTGCAACCATTCGGACCCCAACTGCTACAGCTGTTAGTGCTGCAACCATTCGGACCCCAACTGCTACAGCTGTTAGTGCTGCAACCATTCGGACCCCAACTGCTACAGCTGTTAGTGCTGCAACCATTCGGACCCCAACTGCTACAGCTGTTAGTGCTGCAACCATTCGGACCCCAACTGCTACAGCTGTTAGTGCTGCAACCATTCGGACCCCAACTGCTACAGCTGTTAGTGCTGCAACCATTCGGACCCCAACTGCTACAGCTGTTAGTGCTGCAACCATTCGGACCCCAACTGCTACAGCTGTTAGTGCTGCAACCATTCGGACCCCAACTGCTACAGCTGTTAGTGCTGCAACCATTCGGACCCCAACTGCTACAGCTGTTAGTGCTGCAACCATTCGGACCCCAACTGCTACAGCTGTTAGTGCTGCAACCATTCGGACCCCAACTGCTACAGCTGTTAGTGCTGCAACCATTCGGACCCCAACTGCTACAGCTGTTAGTGCTGCAACCATTCGGACCCCAACTGCTACAGCTGTTAGTGCTGCAACCATTCGGACCCCAACTGCTACAGCTGTTAGTTCTGCAACCATTCGGACCCCAACTGCTACAGCTGTTAGTGCTGCAACCATTCGGACCCCAACTGCTACAGCTGTTAGTGCTGCAACCATTCGGACCCCAACTGCTACAGCTGTTAGTGCTGCAACCATTCGGACCCCAACTGCTACAGCTGTTAGTGCTGCAACCCTTCGGACCCCAACTGCTACAGCTGTTAGTGCTGCAACCATTCGGACCCCAACTGCTACAGCTGTTAGTGCTGCAACCATTCGGACCCCAACTGCTACAGCTGTTAGTGCTACAACCATTCGGACCCCAACTGCTACAGCTGTTAGTGCTGCAACCATTCGGACCCCAACTGCTACAGCTGTTAGTGCTACAACCATTCGGACCCCAACTGCTACAGCTGTTAGTGCTACAACCATTCGGACCCCAACTGCTACAGCTGTTAGTGCTACAACCATTCGGACCCCAACTGCTACAGCTGTTAGTGCTACAACCATTCGGACCCCAACTGCTACAGCTGTTAGTGCGACAGCCGTTGGTGGACGTCCTGCTTCACCCTCTCGTGCCCGTCGTTCTGCTGCTCCAACTGCCCCCCCGCATGATACCACCTCCACAGGTAACCTGCATTCCCATTAGGGGTTTGGGGAAAGGGGGGAGATTGGCAGAGAGGGGGAAGGAGGGCAGCTTGGCAGGGATGGGGGAGGGCACACATGCAGAGAGGGGTTTGTGATAGAGAAGGGGACGTTGGCACAAGGAGAGGGGGAGAGGTTGGCAGAGAGACAAGGATGTTGGCAGAGAAGGGTGGGGAAGTTTTGCAGTGACTGAATTGGGGAAGGTTGGCAGAGGAGATAAGGTTGGCGGAGGATGGGGAGGGGGGATGGGGGAGGGGGGGATGGTGGTGGCGGGGGTTTGACAACGAGGGGGAGAGAAGGTTGGCAGGGAGTGGGGTGAAGTTATCAGAGAGGACGGGAAGTGCTTGGAAAAGACGGAGGGTAGGTGTGTGGAGGTTGGCAGAGTGAGATGGTGACTGGTTGGAAGAGGGGGGATGGGAGGTTGGCAAGGAGAGTGGTATGCACTGATGGGGTAGTAGGGGAGGTCTGGTGGAGAAGGGAGTTCGGGATGTTGGGAGAGAAAGGGGCGGAGAGAAGGGGGCACGGGCAGAGAGAGGAACAGAAGGTTGGGTAGAGAGCGGTGCGGGGGAGAGTGAGGGGGGAAGGGGCAGAGAGGGACAAAACGTTGGTAGAGAGCGGTAAATTGTTACATAGGGGCAGAAGTGAGGGGGGAACAGGTGAGAAATTGCAAGAGGGTGTGATGGAGGAGAGTAATATCTCTTTGCTGATTTTCATCATGGTGCCTCTGCTGTTGCCACTTGCCATCCCCCTGCAGTCACAGTTCGGTGCCTCAGAAACAAAGAGGTGTAGAGAATGCAGTCTATATTCCCTCCCTTGTTCAAGAATCTCCTCTCACTAACTTCCCATAGTTGATCAAGTCAGTCATTCTTATCTGGGACTTCAAACCCACCTGTGTTCCCACACATGCAATCACACATGGTCGTCCTCATTTTGTTCCCATGCAACTGTCTCATGCGTTTCCCCGTCCTACAGCCCATCATTCTCGCCATGCTTCTCAACGTGTTGCATCGGTCGCTGCCACTCGCGCTACAGCCGTGACTGCTCCTTGCATCATGACTCGAGCTGCTTCCCGTGCTGCCACCCGATCCGCTTTGGCACCTCACACCACCACCACCACCGGCACCACCGGCACCACCGGCACCACCGGCACCACCGGCACCACCGGCACCACTGGCACCACTGGCACCACTGGCACCACTGCCACCACTGGCACCACTGCCACCACTGGCACCACTGCCACTACTGGCACCACTGCCGCTGGCACTACAGGCACCATCGCCACCCGCCCCATTGCCGGCTACAGTACTGCCACCACTGCCACCCGCATTACCCAACGCACTGCCACCCGTGTTACCAGCACCACTGCTGCCAATTCTACCGCCACCACCCGCATTACAGGCGCCGCCGCCGCTCACACCACCCGCACCACCCGCACCACCCGCACCTCCCGCACCTCCCGCACCATTCCTGCCAGCACTACCACCACCACCACTGCCTCCTGCACTACCGGCACCAATGCCTCACGCAGCACTGGCACTTCTGCCACCCACAGCAACTGCACCACTGCAACCCACACTAATAGCATCTCTGCAGCCCGAATCACCGGCACCATTCCTGCCCGCACCACCCGTACCACTGCAGGCCGCATTGGTAACCGCACCAGTGCCGCCCCCCGCACCACCAGCACCACTCCCGCCCGCACTACGACCACCATTGCAGGCCACACCTCAGACACCATTAGCGCCCGTACAAATGGAATCACTTCTTTTCGCACCACCGGCATCAGTGCCACCTGCAACAGAACCACTGCCGCCCGCACCAACAGCTGTACTGTCACTCGCGCCACAGACACGGAGGGCCGTATCGCAACGGCAGCTGCCTCTCATGCCTCTCGCCGGAATGGCCCGTTTGCTGCTGCCGACTCCCGGGCTAATGCGCGTACCACTCGAGGTGAGCAGTGCACTTGTTGGGCGGTGCTTGCAGGCATGAGGACAATGGAGAGGTCATGGTGGTGGTGGATGTTGCTGTGGAGTTGTTCTCTTTCCCATGTGTGGCATGGGAGACAATGCATTGCAAGATGATGCCGAAAAGCATGTTGTACGGTCATGAGGACGTTTCAGGTCTTTCTCTTATGTCCCTGAGCGACACAGTTTTTCATCACTCCGTGCGTGCAAGTCTCCTCACCTCAATGCATGCATCAACTCATTAATCATATGCTGGGGAGCCGTCACTTCCTTCTCATATTTTCTCCCTCGTGCTCTCCAGCAGCATTCTGTGCCAATACCCTGAATCGCTCTCCCCTCCCTCCCACCTCATCTTCTCATTCCTCCTTCCCGGACCTCCCTCCTCCCAGCCGGGAACAGGGATGGTCCATCGAGCTCGTTGGCACAAGACAAGGCTGGCAGACACTGACCCACCCATCTGCACCCATTCTCATCCAATGCGGTGCCTCTCAGTCAAACTTCCCCACCAACTGCACGGTGCCCTCATCTCATCTGCTCCTTGTTGACATTATGTGTCAGCCTCACTTCAGCAACGGCTGCAGCTGCTTGTGTTGTGCTTGTTGATTCTATGGTGAAGGCTACTGTAGTAGTGTAACTGAGGTTCTATGACATGTTGATTTTTGAATTTACCCTATGCTATATTTCGTTGCGGATCTACTACCGTATGTATGTATCATGTTCATGTGTGCTCTCCTGAGTTCGAGTCACCTTGGTGGCACATTGACCCAGGTACGGTATGATATTGACAATTTCTGCAACCTAACCAGGTTGAAAGCAAATTGAATAAACGCCTAAATGCAACACGTTATCCACCAACAAAGCAGGAGCACCAACTTAATATAGTAGTCACGTGGATGAAATGACACTGATAGCCACATCTCCTGCCTCCTATTCCCCTCTCCCACTTACGATTTCATCTCTTCCCTACCCCTCCCTCCCTCACCTCCACCTCCCCATCCTTGCCTTCCCCTCCTCATCTCCATCTCACCCCACCTCCTCCCCCCCCACCACTCCCCTCCCCTTCACTCCCCTCCCCTTCACTCCCCTCCTCTTCAATCCCCTCTCCATGCTCCCCTTCACTCTCATCTCCACCCTATCAATCACTCCCTTCTTCGTCCTGTTCACTCCCTTCTTCTTCCCTTTCACTCTCCTCCCCTTCGCTCCACTCCTCCTCAGAATCCTCCTCATCTTCCTCCGAGTCATCTTCCTCCGAGTCATCATCCTCCTCCTCATCTTCCTCCGAGTCATCATCCTCCTCCGAGTCATCTTCGTCCTCCGAGCCACCCGCTGCACGCTGTCCCTCGTCCAGGTTCGCTGTACCATGGATCACCACCATTTGTCTTCTAGACAGCAGCGGGCACTCAGAGACAACGCATGCCAGCAGCTTCCCCATCTGCTGCAGGCCCGCGGGTAGCTGAGCCAGCCGCTTGCACCCACGCAGGTTCAAGTCCTCCAGTCCGGGCAGCTGCGAAAAACATTCGGGCAGGCTGCGGAGTTTGGGCAGTGACACCAGAGAGAGGCTTTTCAAAGCAGAGAGCTTCCAGAAATCATCTGAAAGGCATGAAAATCCGACCTCGTACAAATAACACGACTCCAGTCTGCAGAGACCAGGGAAGGACTCGGGAAGCCCGGTTAGGCCCGAGCTGTTGTTAAGTTGGAATGACTGAAGCTTTTTCAGCTGCCCGAATGACTCAGGCAGAGCAGTCAAGCTCATGGCACTGGTAAGGTCGAGGGATGTGAGAGCTGAGAGCTTCCCTATTGTCTCTGGCAGAGCAAGCAGGCTGTGGGCATAACTGATTGTGAGAGATTGCAAGCGAGAGAGGCGAGAGATGGACTCTGGGAGCGAGCGAAGCCGACTCAAGCTGCTGATTTCCAGACTGGTTAGTGATAGAATGGAGCCCAGCGATGGACCGAGCTGCTGCAGGGGAAGATTACCAAGCCGAAGGACCTCGAGGGACGGAAGCCACACACCCGTGTCACTCTTCTCGGATCCCTCACAGCTGCCAGTGGCACTGCTGCTACCCATGTGTGCATCCCCAAACAACGACTCCAACGCGTAGCAGCCAAACAATCTGAGAGACTTCAATCGCTGCAGCTGAAACAGTGACCGAGGGAGCGACTTCAAATTGGGCAGATCGCAGAGCTCGAGTGTTTTAAGCGATCCCAGGCGTCCGATATCCTCTGGCAGCGCCTCGATTCGCGTGCATCTGATGACCACGAGGCTGGTGAGAGTGCGGGCGATGGCAGGGAGGGAGGCTGGCAAGGCGGTCAGGTGCGGCAGGGAGGAGAGAGTGAGCTCATTGAGGCTTGTCGAGTGGGAGAACCCGCCTGGTAGCGCGAATCTTAAGCTGTGTGCATAAGAGATTTCTAGGGTTTCGAGGGAGGAGAGGCTGGAGAAAGATGGCGGGAGGTGGGTGAGAGCTGTGCATTCGAGCAGAATCAGTCCGCGCAGGCTACACAGACCACCCCCCATGCCCTGCGGTAGCACCGTCAGGTTGTCACTGTAACTGATTTCCAGCAGCTCGAGGGAAGAAAGCAGAGTCAACGAGTCTGAAAACTGCGTCAGCAACGTGCATGGAACTATTTTCAGCTCCTTGAGGCTTGTCAGGTTGCCAAGCGACGCGGGCAGGCTGCTGAGCCGCAGAAGCTCAATTAGGCGCAGAGCCTCGAGGGCAGTAAGCTACCCGAACTCTTCGGGCAGAGAATGTAGAGTTTCAGACTTTGCGATTGCGAGCTCTTTGAGTGTGGTGGCGAGGTATACGGAGGGATGCAGCTGCACGGCCATGCCAACGTCTAGCTTGAGCGTGCGTAAACGTGGGAGGAGAGCGAGGTCGTCAGGCAGATGGTGGAGTGCTAGGCGGTCGAGGATGCACACTAACACCTCCACCTGCATCTTCGTTAACAACCTCGCTGGACCCACCTTCCCTGTCCAAACAGGGGTCCGACAAGGTTGCCCTCTCGCCCTCCTCCTTTTTGTGTGTGTCATTGAAATCCTACAGCGCTACCTATCGCTCTTCCTCACGGGTTTCCCCCTCTCTACGACGCAGCGCCGGCTCATGGCCTGCTATGCTGACGATGTCACCATCTTTCTCTCCACTTATGCACCTCCGATCCTTCGCCGCAGTCTCCGGAGAACACCCCAATTGGAACAAATGCTCAATTATCCCTTTTCACATTGCCCCGGAACAAATCCTCCTAGCTGGCCCCATTCCCATTCGCACCCCTCAAGAGGCAGAACGCATTCTTGGCATTTACGTCGAACGTGCACAACCAGGCGACACTACCTGGTCCACTACTCTCTCTCGCGTTCAGCGCATGGCCAAGCTCCTTGCCGCCCTTCGTGCCACAGCTACCTGCCGCAAGTCACTTACGTCGGTCTTCTTAAACTCTATTATCTCCTTCCCCGGCCGCTTTCAACCCGCCTCCCCCGACATTATCAAACGCCTAGACGTCTTGGTCGGGAACTTCCTATCTTCCTCTCGTTTCAAGGAACACGGCCTTGCGGTCCGTCTCATCCCTAATCGGCTCCTGTATAATTCCACTCGCCATGGAGGCCTTGGAGCGATCGCCCCTTCCACCCAAATCCGCGCTCTAGCCGCTCATCGCGCGCTCCGCCGCCTCGACGCCTCACCATCGGAGGAGGTAGCGAGAGCTGCCGTCTGCCTCCCTTTTGGCACACACTGTCTCCTAGCGCACCCAGCCATCCTTCAATCAGGCATTCTGCCAACGGCAACCCCGAGTCGAGCACTCGCTGAACTACACGCATTGATAGAGATCACCCCGGACATTGCCCCACCTCGCCTCGCCCCTATATGCATAATGGGTGAGCCCACCGCCTTCAACTGTTTTATTCTCAAACCTAACGGGAAGCCCTTGGGGATTCTAACGCGTGAACGCTTCCTCCTTTCCATGCAGGTTCGCGTCGGCCATTTGATCTCTCTCATCTTTCACTCGCTTGGCGTGGTCTCCTTTAAACATTTCACCTCATTGTTTCCCCTAGCCAACTCCTCTGGACGAAGATTCTGGCGAGAACTCGTCCGTGCTATCCCCAAGCCCTGGTGGTCAGCCCTTCGCTCCCACCCTCCCCCCTCGGCAGCCCTTGGGGAGTGGTTCGTCCCTAAAGAAGACTCCGAGACCTCCCCCACTCTTGCTCTTCAGGTCACGGTCTTCTTCCCTCCGTCGTCGCTCTCAGTCTCTCTTCATCGTGTCCTCCCCAACCGGTTCATCGTCCGGCCATCGTTCGGAGATGGCACCTTCCACATAGGTGCCCTCTCTGCGGTACACGTCGTTGGGTCCTGGCTTGCAGGCCCCTTCCATACAGGTGCAGGGCTCGGCGCGCGGCTCGACATCCTACAGGACGGATGCCCCAGCGTAGCCGACATTCGTCGCCGGCTCTATTCTCAGCTCCCCCTCGACCACGCCACCCGCTGCATCCACGTCTTCCCCGCTCCTCCTCCCTTCCTCCCCGACCTCTCCCATGACTTTCTACGCGAGCAACCCAGCCTCCAGCGCGACGTCATGTACCGGTTCTACACTCGCGCCCTCCCTTCAGGTTCGCGCTTCAACTTCGCCGCAGACCGGGGAGCTTGCTCACTCTGCCTGGCCGCACCCACAGAGACTATATCCCACATCTTCTACGAGTGTGGGGTGGCCCCCGCAGTGATCTCCGCTCTCTCCTCCGTCGCTCGTCGTCACCTCCACTGCTCTCCTCCTCCTGAGCTCCTGCTCTTCCCACTCGCCTCCAGAGCTGGCCAGGTGGCCCCCTGGAGTCTCCTGGTTGGGGCATCTACAAAAGCTATTTGGAATGCACGCTGTGAACACAAGTTCCAAGACTCACCCTCCTCCCGGTTTGAGATCCTCCAGCTCATACTGGCCAAGTTCCTCATTGCTTTCAAAATTTTCTTATGGCGCAGGAAGAAACAATCAGTGAAAAAACAACTACGTTCAGCCGCTCGCATCAAGCTGGCCACTCGACTTCGCTTCCTCGTCTTCGACCACAACGGAACCCCTTCTATCCACCCAGACCTCCGCTCGTCCTGGTTGCTTGGGGACCCCTTCCGCCCCCCCTAGCCCTTTCCCCTTTTTGAGCATAGAGATCTCCCCAGTTCTGCTGGTGGCTATCCAATGGATAGAGGAATAACGTGTTTTCCTACGTACGCCTTAGGGCTGTTGGTTTGTGTAGACCATATTTCTAGCTGCTCTATGCTTTTGCTGTACATGGTTACGACCTTATATATCACACAGACTTCGCCATTTCATCCATGGAAATTCTGCACGCCTGAAACTGAGGGTACCTGTAGTTGTGAAGACTCTCGCCACGACCTTAGTCTTCGAGCGATTACGTTACGTTAGTCCCATTGCATCTCGTTAACTAGTCGAAATGGCTGCTGCATCACCAATCGGACAGCTGTCAGACGATCTTCTCTCCGTTATCCTCCGTCTCGTCGGTCGATTCAACGACGGCCAGTTCCAGCACGCACTAGTGTGCAAGACATGGCATCGCATCGCCCGTCGCGTGCACGACCACATCCAGATTCGCGAAGAGCGTCGCATGCGCCCTCGCGAGCTACTCGCGCACCTCTCGTCATTCCCAAGGCTCCGAAATCTCGTCCTCGCCAACGGCAGCATCACGTCCGTCCCTGACTCCCTCCTCTCGCGGATTGCCGACACGTGTCCAGATCTGACGGACCTTCACGTCGATAAGATGGATCGATGCTACAGACGCGGGGGGTTCACGGAGGATGGGCTTTCGTATCTTTTTGAGAAATGCTCACGGCTGGAGGGGCTTTATCTTGATTGTCAGTCAATTCTGACCACCATTCCCGCTTCAATCGGCGGCCTTGCGTCACTCAAGAGCCTGCACATCACCGACAGGGGGAAAATCGCTTTCCTTCCAAACGTGTTCACGTCGTTACAGACACTCGCGCGTCTCGTGCTTGAAATGCACGGCCTGGATGAACTGCCTCAGAACTTCGGCAATCTGAGGCTGCTCAAGTCGCTCCGGCTAAACATCTGCCAGTCTCTCGTTTCCATTCCCGATTCTTTCGGGCAGCTTACCAACTTGACGCAACTTTCCATCAATGGCTCCACAAGGCTTCAGCTGCCCGAGTCCATCTCCAACCTTTCATCGCTGCTGACCCTCGAAATTTCCAACTGCCAAGACCTTTTACCGCTGCCCGAGAGGTTCGGGAACCTGCCGGCGCTTGAACTGCTCGGGAAGTCCCACCACGGCAAGCGCTTGAAAGAGGAAGGCCTGGTCAACCAGGTCATAGGCCTTGCGGAAGTCAACGGTTAAGGCGAGCAGGGGGGTTTTCGTGGTTGTACTCCAGTCGAATATGTCAAGTGTATCATTGATTGTATCGCCGATTTTCCTGCTTTTAATGAAAGCGGTTTGGGAGGGGTGGATAATCAGAGGGAGGGCAAGTTGCAACCGGTTGGCGAGGCATAGGGCTAGCACCTTGTAGTCCGAGTTCATGAGGGTGATAGGGCGAAGGTTGTCAACCATAGAGGAGCTTCCCCTCTTGGGAATAAGGACGGTGCAACCTGACAGCATTGACGGCGGGAGGGTAGCGGAGATGTGCGGGGAGGAGAAGAGTGAGAGAAAAGCAGGGGCAAAGAGGGTATTGTATTGACGGAAGAGCTCGCCTGGGATGCTGTCAGGGCCGGGGGTTTTGCCGCGGGTGAGCTGGTTTAAAGCCTTGTTAATTTCCAGAAGGGAGAAGGGGGCTTGCAGATGGTTGAGAAGTCGGGGAGGGAGTGAAGAAGGGGGGATGTGAGCCCATAAGGCAGGATTTGGCACGCCTGGGGTTGCCCCGCTATATAGGGACTGGAAAAATCCGGTGCATTCACCGGTCATGGCTCGCAGATCTGAGATGGTTTGTCCATCTGGTAGTGTAAGCGATGAGATTAATGAGTCTCTGATGCGGGAATTGAGTCCTGCCAGTAAGGAAGAGGTTCCCATCTCCCGATGGCCCTCGACTTTAAGCTTTGCTTTTAGGGCGAGCTCGGCGGTTTTAGATGCCTCATATCTTGTTAGTTGGGTGCGGGCTTTGAGGAGTTGTGTGATCGCATCCTGGTCCAAAGGGGAGAGGGCAGATTGGAGCTGGAGGTGGCTGATGAGTTGTACGAGATGGGCGGTAGTGTTGGTGACCCGTTTGCGCTCTTCGTTCGAGAACTGTTTGAGGCTAAGGGTGAGGGCCAGTTTCCAGGAGTCCCATGCTTCGGAGGAAGGGCGTAGTGGCAGGGAGGGGAGGTGAGATTCGATTATGGTAGCGACTTGGGGCCAGTGGAGAAGAGAAGAGCTGAAACGCCAAGGTCGCTGTGCCATGGTTGGGTTGTTGAATGTGAGGGTGCAGAGGGGTGCGAAGGAGTGGTCAGAAACGTCAGTTGGGGTCCAGAGGTAGGAGGTTTCGGAGATCCGTGGGAGGAATGAACTGGAAAGGTAGATTCGGTCCAGTCTGGAGGCAGGCGGGAGAGTTGTACCAGCACTGGCCCGGCGGCCAAAGTATGAGAAAACGGGGGCGGCAGGGTGGAGTGAGCGGTACACGTCGGACAGTGCGTGCGATAGCAAGAGATTAGACATCATGGTGGCCTCGCTAAGTTCGTGACCAAGTAGCGAGCAGTTGCGGTCAAGGGGGGAGACCACCGAGTTGAAGTCACCGGCGAGGATCGTCGCAGCAGCTGCAGTGGGTTGCTCCAGTGCGGGGGTCAGGATGGATCTCCACCAGGCCCGGCGGTCAGTAGCAGGTCTTGGCGCATAGATAGTGAGGAGGCGAAGTTGCTCACGCAGGAAGTTGATATGTACGGATAGGAGGTGGCCATCGGTGGAGGGGGACGGGGAGGTGAGAGATACTGCTCTGTTGAAAGATAAGATGGAGATGCCGCCGGGTTGCGGACACGGATGGCCGTTTGAGTTCAGAGCGTAAAGAGTGGGTGCGTGTACCGAAGAGTGTGGGCGGAGTTGGAGTGACAGTCTAGGTAAGTTTTTTGAGAGACGTGTATCCACTAAAATGAGAATGTCTGTGTGCGGAGGGGAGGTGGAGAGCCAGCGCTTTAAAGCGTTTCGTTTAACCGGCGTATTGATACCATTTATATTGAGGCATCGGACTCGTAGGGGAGTTAACATTCTACCGAGTGGGAGCCCACCGCATAGAAGGGTGCGCGGATCCACAGGCGTGGGTATTTATACGAGGGGGAAGGAGGTTGGTGGTGGCTGTGAGTGCCAATAGAGCTGTCAACGAGTATAGACTGAAGTTTGTGGTGGCTATGCTTGCGCGCTGGTTGTATTCGGACGGCGCCAATGACACACCAGAGGTTTAACTGATGGTGGTTGGTAGAAACAGTGAGAAGAGGTGCAACATACGAGTGAAACTTGGGCAGTTGAGTGCAATACTGGGGGTTGAGAAGTGTAGGGCTCGAGTTTTTGGTATTAAAGAAGATGAACAATAACGTGGTATCAATATAGGGTTTGAAGAAGGCGTAATTGGTAGTGTGCGCGGATGGGAGAGCTGGAGTGAAGACTGATAGTGCAATTAACATCACGTTCATCATGACAGACATGATCGTACGCACACTAGTTGAGCATACAAAGGCTAAATGGGTGCGAGCTAAGGAACACAACAAGGAAGGTTCTAGCAATGGATCATAGCCGAGGCGCACATGCCGCTGCACTAAGGACGGCCGCGAAGGAAGGCAGTCACCGGAGCCTTCTGCTGCAGCAAGATGAGTGCGCGCCAAGGACCAAAGTCGTCCTTGGCAGCCGGGCGGTGAGCAGAGGCCTTCACGCGGGTGGCGTGCAGGTCGGACTGGATATGCTCCATGGCGCTGTCGAGGGCAGCGCCGCAGGTGAAGTCGCAGAGAGCGCATGTCCAGTATTCGACCCAGTCGTCCAGCCCGATGTAGAGGAGGCCGGGGTCGTTGCGGAAGGCGGTCGGCGCGGCATGAGTCCCCAGAAGGTTGCCTGCAAGAGAGGGGGCGGTTGGGGGGAGGAGGGGGGAGCAGGGGGGGCGGGGGGGTGGACGGATGTGCAGGAATAAGGGGAGCAGGGAGAGTTGGAGGGGTGGGGCAGGTGAGGAAGGTGAGGGGGAGGACCGAGAGGGGGGGTGGGCTAAATGGCAGCGGGAGGAGGGGGGTGCGGGGAGGGGGGAAAGGCGCGGGGAAGGGGCGGGGGTGTTCGGGAGTCCGGTCGGGGGGGGAGAAGAGACCAGAGGGGGGTGGAGTGGCCTGCTTGAGAGCAATGTGGGAGAGACCGGGGGGAGGGGGCTGCTGGCAGAGGGGGGGAGCCACGTTGGGGGTCAGGCGGCCCGGTCAGAGCGCTGGGGACGGTTGCAGTTGGGTCCCTGAGAGGGTGGGGGGTGAAAAGAGTGAGGGGGGGTGGGGAAGGCGGGATTGAGGGTAGGGGGAAACGAGAGGAGGGGGATCGGGAGAGAGGGAGGGGAGGGGAGGAGTCGGGGTGTGGGGGAAGTAGGGGAGGGTGCTGTTAGAAACAGGGGGGAGAGAGAGGGGGAGGGGAGCGTCTCCGTGCCAGCGTGGGGGTGGGCAGCGGGGCCGTCCTCTGGGGAGACCCTGGGAGGGAAGGCGCCTAAAGTGGGGGGAGTGTTGGAAGGGAACAGGGCGAGGGGTTCCGTAAGAAAGTGCGGTCTGCGAGGGGGGGGGAGAGCAGGGGGAGAGTGCGGGTGGGGTGTGAGTGTGTGGGAGGGCGGGGGTCCGTCCTCAGAGGGGGAGGGGGGGGGAGTGTTGTGGGGGGAGAGGTTGAAGTGGGTAGGGGCAGGGAGTGGGGGATCAAGGGTAGAGCAGAGGCTCCGAGACGCGGAGCTTGCATGGGGGGAGTGGGAGTATGGGGGAGTCATGAGGGTGGGTGGAGGCCCGACTGTAGGGGGGACAGAGGAGGGTACGTTGGTGGCAAGGGCTGAGCGTCCTGGGAGGGAAGGTTGCCGACAGGGGTTGGAGAGGGCAGGGAGGGTGGGGTGGTGTGGGGAGGGCGGGAGAGTGAGTAGGAGCCCCACGACATGGGGGGCCGGAGAAGGAAGCGCTGTGGGGGAGAGGTGGGTGACGGGGGTGAAGGCGGGGTGTGGGGGGGCACCTGGCGCGGGGAGAGGGATGGGAGGAGCGAGGGGAGTGGGTAGGGTCAGGTTGAAAGTGGGGTTGGCAGGGGCCCGGGCGGCCGTACGGGGGGGGAAGCAACACGGCAGAGGGTAAGGGGGGCTCTTAGGGAGAGAGGAGCAGCAGGGGGTGAGTGCGGGGGTTGGAGGGGACCAGTGAGGTTGTGGGGAAGGGGGAGGGGGAAGTGGTGACTGGATGGGGTTGGTGTTGGGGGGAGGAGGGGGGAGCAGGGGGGGCGAGGGGGTGGACAGAGGTGCAGGAATAAGGGGGGGAGGGAGAGTTGGAGGGGTGGGGCAGGAGGGGGAGGTGAGGGTGAGGACCGAGAGGGGGAGGACCATGTGGGCTAAATGGCAGCGGGAGGAGGGGGGTGCAGGGAGGGGAGGAAGGCGCGGAGAAGGGGCGGGGGTGTTCGGGAGCCCAGGCGGGGGGGGAGAAGAGACCAGAGGGGGGTGGAGCGGCCTGCTTGAGAGCAATGTGGGAGAGACCGGGGGGAGGGGGCTGCTGGCCGAGGGGGGGAGCCACGTTGGGGGTCGGGCGGCCCGGTCAGAGCGCTGGGGACGGTTGCAGTTGGGTCCCTGAGAGGGTGGGGGGTGAAAAGAGTGAGGGGGGGTGGGGAAGGCGGGATTGAGGGTAGGGGGAGACGAGAGGGAAGGGAGGATGCTTGCGGAAAAAATAAGAGCAACAGATTTCGTACCGTTTGCCTGCTGCAGCTGAGCAATTGAGATCGTGTTCTTGTTCGTGAGGCGCCCGCGGCGGCGAGCAGCAAAAGCCTCGTGGTCCGATGCGCGATGGTTGTTACCGCACAGCGAGCACACGTGGCAGGAGAAATTGAGCAGCATAGCGGGCTTGTTCGACTCCAGCAGGATTTCGGATGGGATCCGTTCGAAGTTCGGATCATCGGGGGTGGCGACCGGGAGCCCTGCGAGGTGGGTGAAAAAGGTGTCTTCGTAGGGGTCGGAAGCACGGTGAAAATCAGTCGGGTCCGCGAGCCAATGCGCGCCGTCCTCGTCGGTGGTCCCGAGGAGAGAGGCGCGGATATCCTCCGGATCAAACTCGAGGGGGACGTTTCGAATAGACAGGGTGGGAGCGCCGGCTGCCTTTGCGGCGGTGAAGGCTTTGAACCTGTCAACATAAACTTTCAGCATGACGGGGCGGGAGTTGGAGATTTTCAGCATGAGGGGAAAAAGCTTGCGGAAAGCCGCGGCATCTTCCTGCGACGGCCAAGAGAACAGCAGGCGGCCGTACACGCGACGGGCCACGCGGAGGGATTCGCCGACGGTGTGCTCGAAGGGGGGGATGATGCCCGAATCAAACATGAAGCCGCACAACTACGCGTTGATCCCGGCGAGGAGTTCCGTGCGGTGCGACTCCAACACGGCCTCCGGGAGGAGGAGCGTGACTACCACGCGGCGGCGAAGGGGGAGGAGCATCGGGGTGGCCGTAGCAGTGCGCGCGCGGCGGAGGTTACGGGGGGATCCGCCAGGCGCAGGTGAGGCGAAGAGCGAGGCGGGCAGCGCGGGGGCCGGGTTGACGCCAGCGATGACTGAAGCGTAGGCAGCGGCGTGGAGGGCCGGGGCGTTGGGGGAGGCAGCAGTTGCTGCCGGCGTGGGCATGGGGCTGCTCGAGGGCGACGCGGGAGCAGCAGCAGCGAGGGGCATGGGAGACCGCGGGGGCTGCGCCAGGGCCGAATCAGAGGAGGTGGCGGGGGAGTTAATGCTGGTATGGCCTGCGCCAGCGTCCATGCAAGCCTTTTTCGCCGCAGGATGGTCGGGGGAGCACGTGAGTTCGTCGATTAGCCCTTTGGGGAGGTCCTCCACCAAGAGGTCCTCACCGGACTCGGCGAGAGCTTCCTCTTCGGCTGCGGTCATGGTGAGATCGGTATTGAAGGCCTGCTTAGACATAATGCAAAGTGGGAGGGGGGACCGTTTGAGGTTGGGAGGCAAGTAATGAGTGACTGGCAAAGATTTGGGTGAGTTAAGTAGGTCAAGAGCGAGAGAAAGCCCGTGAGGGGACGATTGGGCGTAGGGGGAGCAGGGACGCGGCGGAAGCGAGCGAACGTGAGGCCTTGGGGGCAAGGCTCTGAAGGGGGCATTGGGGGGGGGTTGGGAGAGGGTGGTCGGGAGGGGAAGTACCGAGAGAGGCTGGGGCAGCGTGGCGGCTGCGGAAAATGAGGCGACGTGGCGAAGGAATTAAGGGACAACTGCGGGATTGGGCGCCTAGTTGGCAGCCCGAAACCCAGGACCGTTCGAGGGTCCGAGCGCTCGCGCGCGAAATAAACTGGCGGCCTAGGCGGCGCGCCGAGTTTTCGAGCCATGTGAAGGGCTTTGCCGGAGGCAGCAAGTGAGTAAAAAACGGAGCATATGCAGCAAGGTTGCCAAGGGAGTCAGGAAGTCCGTGAGTGCTGGCGTTTGTTAAGGCATGAAAAAACGGAAGGAGGAGGTGGGGCGCAGGGGAAATCGGCGGGATAATGGCAGGAAAGAAGGCGAGCAGGAAAACGGGAGAAAATTGAGGGTTAGTTGTGTGCGGCGACTGGGGTTTGTCGAGGGAGTCCTTGGTGTTCACCGAAACAAGGGACAGCTTGGCGGGAGGTGGCCGATCTGTTGGCAGGGGTTGGGCAGAGACATAAACGAACTTTCTGAGGGGGGAAGGGCCGAAGATAGGGGGAGGGAGTGAGATTTGATGGGTGCACGAAAGATGAGGATGAGAAGTGGGGGTTCGATGGCGCAAGGGATGGAACTGAAGGATACAATGAGCGCAAGGTGCAACGGGGGGAATTGTAGTGGGAAGTGTTGGACTTACCTGGAGAGGAAATTGACGGGGAGTGCTGAGGGCGAAAGGGAGTCCGCCAGTGGTCCGTTGGTTGGAGGAGTGAACGGGAGTTGACAAATGGTAGCGAGTATTGGGGAGTGGGAAGCTTCCCTGCTGTTGTAGAAATGAGGTGGGGTGTAGCGACATGAAAACGAAAACGCTAAAAAGGAAAAACGATAGCAGAAACTTACCTGTAAACGAGGCTGAGTCGTGTAGGAGAAACCTGCCTAGGTGGCTTAGGGTTTGACTAGCCTCGTAGCCTAGAGGGCGCGAAGTCTGTGTGAGAGGGTTGGATCCAACACATCGCATCTCAACGGAATGAACTCTCTGCCTCTACTGACTGAGTACTGTACCTTGAAACTCTTCTATAGCATTTGACGGACAGGCTTTCCATAAAAAATGGATTGTTATATGCACTCCAGACTTGTCCTTGTTTTGTTCACCTTTATGCTGACTCCGCTAAACGTGCTGGCTCGTTTCAATTATTTTCGCGGAGGTTTCCTGACGGGCGGTCCGACAGTGTGACGTTACGTCACGAGCGTCCCAGTCCACTCACTCACTCGCGACCATCGGAACCGTCCGATGGGTCTCGACGTGCAAATGGATGGCATCGATGGTTTTCGGTCTGCCCAGGGTGTGGGTACAGTACTCAATTTCGGCATGCTATGCTCCTTGTACTTCGGGCACAGTTTTGGGCACTTCAAACAACTTCGGCCTTGGGAGTGTCGCCGCCGTCAAGAACTGGTTCCTATCACACATGTATGTTCCAAAATCGGAGCCATCGTTTGTCCAACTCGTTCCCATCGGCGGGCGTGCAGAGCAGAGTAGCACGAAATATTGAGCACCTCGAACCGTCTGAGGCCATTGAAACGTTGAAGTAGCGGAGCATGAGAGCGCCGCATCGCCACGTTGAACACGTGGAAACGTTCTCGCCGTTCAGAGACATTAGAGCATGGACAGAATCATGCGAGTGTTTCAGAATCATGCGAGGCCTATTCGTCGACGCGACAGCAGAGCAGAAATGGAAACATCCGCCCCAGACGCTCTGCGATCGTCAGACAGCGCGTCGCGTTTGACCGAAACGTCGCCCGCAAGACTTCAGAATCAGGCGGCCGCGCACGAGAAGCCGCAACAGCGGGTCGTTCACGTGGACGATACCGACCGTACGATCCGAGAGGCCGAGCTTGACGCATCGGACGGCGGAGAGGGCCTGCTAGCGAGGTGGAGGATACATAGGAGCCGATTGGCTAATAACCGCATCCGGACGAGTAAATACACGCTGCTAACCTTCCTTCCCCGCAACCTATTTGAGCAGTTTCATCGCGTCGCGTACATTTACTTCCTCGTGCTAATCTTAATCAACCAGCTCCCGCAGCTCGCGATCTTCGGCCGTTACATCTCCGTCATTCCGCTGCTCTCCGTGCTGACGGTAACGGCGATTAAAGACGCCTTCGAGGACTGGCGACGCCACCGCGCCGACGCGCGGGAGAATGGGCGCGAGTGCTTCGTGTACCGCGGGGGCCAGTGGTACTCTGCCACGTGGCAGAGCATTCGCGTGGGGGAGCTGGTGCATGTACGGGGGGATACGACAGTCCCGTGCGACATCGTGCTTTCGGCGTCTAGAGACCCGTCGGGTCGCGCGTTTGTGGAAACGATGAACCTAGACGGCGAGACTAACCTCAAGCCTAGATACAATGAACGAGGATCAGAGGCAGCAGCACTCGCAGCAGCAGCCTCAACAGCAGCCCCAGCAGCAAAACGAGGCGCTGAAGCGAAGGAAGAAGCAGTAGCAGCGCAACAGTCGAGGCAGCTGCCTGCAACCACAGCTGCATGGCAGCAGGGGCGTGGCGATGTGATGGGGGGATGGGAGGTGCGGACTAGTGGGGTAGAGAGTCAGTGAGAGGGTGAAGGACTACATTCCGCACCACTTTCGAGCAGGTGAGGCGTGGCGATGTGAGGGAGGGAATGGAAGGAGGTGAGGCGTGGCGACCTGACGGGGGAATGAGATGAGAGGAGGTGAGGTGTGGTGAATGTGAGGGTGGGGAGTGGGAGGTGCGGGGGTTCTAGGAAATGTCAAGGAGACAGTGAAGGGCATCGTTTTGCACCACGTCTGAAATGGTGGGTGAGGCGCGATGATGTAGGGAGGGGAATGGGAGGTATGAGGAAAGCAGTGGGGTTAGTGGGGCAAAGAATCATGGGATAGTGGCTGGCTGCAGCCTGCATGGCACCCCTCTCCTTTGAGGCGCATCAAGAACACGGCACCGCTCTCCACCGCATGTGTGGCTTATCTTCTTCCACGCCTCACTCACTTTGCCTTCTCTGGATGCCTCGCCCGCCCCTTTAGAGGTCTGGTTCGGTAGCCACATCCCTCCATCCCCACCCCTCCCTTCATCCTCACCCCGCCATCCATCCCCGCCCCTCCATCCATCCCACTCACCCACGCACTCACCCACGCACCCACACACCTGCTCTCAACTACTCACCCGCCCACTGACCCACTCACCCTCTCACCTATTCAACCGCTCACCCACTTATCTACTCACCCACTCAACCACTCACCCACTCACCCACCCACTCCCTCACCCACTCACCCACTCACCCACTCACTCCCTCACCCACTCACCCACTCACCCACCCACCCTCTTACCCACCCACCCACCCACCCGCCCGTCCACCCACTCACCCACTCACACCATGAGCCGCACTCACACCATGAGCCGCACTCACACCATGAGCCGCACTCACACCATGAGCCGCACTCACACCATGAGCCGCACTCACACCATGAGCCGCACTCACACCATGAGCCGCACTCACACCGTGAGCCGCACTCACACCATGAGCCGCACTCACACCATGAGCCGCACTCACACCGTGAGCCGCACCTACACCATGCAATTTTTGTGACTTTATTCCCCTTGCAACCCCCCTCCCCTCTCCCCCTCCCACCAGGAGTGTGGTTGCAGGACCAAGATCTGTACCACATGAGCATCTTCCATGCCTCACACCATCTCTCTCCTGTACCTGCTACCGCCAAACAGGTATGGTCGAACCTGCCTCTGCCAAACAGGTATGGCCGAACCTGCCACCGCCAAACAGGTATGGCCGAACCTGGCGCCGCCAAACAGGTATGGCCGAACCTACCACCGCCAAACAGGTATGGCCGAACCTGCCGCTGCCAAACAGGTATGGCCGAACCTGCCACCGCCAAGCAGGTATGGCCGTACCTGCCACCGCCAAACAGGTATGGCCGTACCTGACACCGCCAAACAGGTATGACCGTCTTTCCAGTGTCACATCACATCATACCTCTACTTATATCTCCTCTGGACCTGCTTTCCCCACTCCTGTTCCTCCTGCGCTCCCTATAAAATCATTTTGACCTTGTCTTTGGTGCACTTGCTCTCCCTCCCTCAGTACAACTGGGTTATGCTGCACACATCACTCCTCTTCTCATCACACATCTGCACACATCACTCCTCTTCTCATCACACATCAGCACACATCACTCCTCTTCTCATCACACATCTGCACACATCACTCCTTGTACTTGGTTGGTGCACCTGCTCACCCACCCTCCCCCAGTACAACCGAACTGAGTAATGCTGCACACATCACTGGCACGCATCCTTGCACCACCCACGTGGCCTGATGGGGTACGTATGTGTGCTTCACCAAGGTATCCCCCCTCTTTTGAGATGTTTTAAAACTTGCACCGCCCATGTGGCCTAGCGGGGTACGTGTGTGTGCTGCATCAACTTATCCCCCTGGGATGTTACACCGTTACACCAAGATGGAAGCAGAAATTGTAGCATTCTGTTCGGCTTTATTCATCCTGCACCTTGCATGGTCGTGTCTCCAACCTTGTGTTGTTCTCGTCCGTTTTATCGACAAACCTCTTTTACACAGAGTCCTCCCTTCTTCTCATTCCTCACTCCTCACTCCTCACTTCACTTCTACCTTCTCTCCCGTGTCCCACTCACCACCAGACGCTAGCACACAATGCCGAGTCAGCGATGCCGATTTTTCGCTCCATAGCCAGCGAGCTCGACCAGAAGCTCTGCCGCAAACAGGCTAGCCACTCCTCTCCATCAATCTCCCTCCTCCTTACTTGTTTCTCTTTTCTCTCTCCCCTGCTCCCCTCCTGTGTTCTGCGTCTTCCTCATTCCCTCTCATCCTATGCCTGGTACCCTGTCTGTCATTCCTTTCATCTGCTTCTCCTCACCCCACTCATTCCCATTCATCTGCTCCTGAGTCGCCCACTTACTACTCCTCTTCCGCTCTTGCTCGTGCACATCCTTCTGCATCCTATGCCGAGTTGACCTTATGAGTCGACTCAACAGCCAGCCACAATCATTCCCTCCCCTCCTCTACACTTCCACTCTTACGCATGCACATCACCTTGCCACATGCTGGCATACCATGCAGACGGTGGTGAGGGAGCTATGGAACATGGAGGAGATGGATGTGTTGGCGCTGGCGCTACAAGGCAAGATGAGCGTCAAGCGATTCAACCTCACGTGTATCCAACCAGACTGGGTTGGCACAATATAGGCCTGTTTGTGTTGCTTCAGGTTAGGCGTAACATATTCATATGAGGGGGTTGTCCCTCCCAAGTCAGGGAATTCTTATAAAGTATCCCCTGTAATGTTATGGAGGCCTGCGTAATCAGCTGTTTATCAGCTCTTGTATCATTGCTCCAATGCCTATCCTGAACACTCATTTTTACCCGTTTCTGGAGACAGGAAAACGCCATAATTCTTTATTGATTTTCTGTTCGATTATCTAGTTTGTGTGATTTAGGAATTACACATTCGAATTTGGACACCACATAGATGCGAAACGAATATGCCTTAGAGCAGATGCCTAGGTTTCTTCTCAACGAAAATTCCCCGCACCCTTCTGTACTCGCAATTCTCAGTGCCGCTAGGTTGCCCTCAGTGCCGCGATCCCAGCAACAGGGATACTATCGAGAAGCGACTACCATTCCCGTCGCGCAGCTCTCTATGGCCCTAGAATCTGCCAGCGCTCTCGCGGTGTGGCGACCCTATCGTCGCCTCGATGAAGTCCCGAGGCACAGCAGCGCGGTTAGGCTCGGAAATGTATTCCAGCCTGATCGCCAAATTCCCCAGACTGGCTGTAGGATCCGTCAAACCGCAGCCTGATCGTCGCTTCCACGAAATCCTGCTGACTCTGCTACACCCCTTGAACCGCTTCCCTCCAGCAGCGCTTCACCTTCCGTAGGAACACAGCGTCACAGCCATTAGCCTAAAATTCGACATTTCCGTGTTTTTTCCTCTGCATTCGTCGCCATTATCCTTTCTCCGTTGTTACGGTATCGCTAATTCTCACCAGCAATGGAATTTCTTTCCGCCGACCTCCTCTACGCCATTCTTCGCCGCGCCGAGCCAGCGGGGCCTCGCGTCTTAGCGCGGATTGCGTGCGTTTCGAAGACGCTCGATCGCATCGCAAAAGAGAAACTCTGGCAGCTGCTCTGCCGGGAGAAACTCTCCAATATCCACGAGAACCAGCTCCCTGACGAGACAAGGACAGCCCGCTTAAAGGGCGATAATAACGAGGTCTCAACTGTTGAAGCAAGGTCACGCAGCTTATTTCGCTACGTCCTGAAGCGGATGCATAACGTCGACTGTAGAGCACTCGCAAAACTCATCCACTGGTGCCCAGGTGTGATAAGGGGATGCCGAGTTGCAAAGGACGAGCACGGGTGTGACAGCGATACACCGCACATGCGTTGTCGTCTGGGATTTGGCAGCTGCTCCATTCGGGGAATGTACCTGTCCTTTGTGTGCTTCTGCTCTACTGACTCTGAATTTGGAAACGGTGGATTGGTGCTAACCCAAGGACTTGATCTTGTTCAGTAAGACCATCTATCTCCTTTGTGCTTCCTGGGAATGAATGTCTGCCGTTGTTTTTTCCAACTTATTCAAATAGACTAGGCTAGCCAGACGAGGTACGTGCAGGGTGACTTGAGGGCATGGGAGAGAGGAGGGAGGAGAGGAGGGCCTGGGTGAGGGCTGGGATTTGGGAATGGCAACCTGGCAAATACCATATCCAACAAGGGCCTACCTCGACCACCATCAAGCCGTCAGGCGGCAGGCTTAGTTGGGGAGCCTTGCCACCTGTGGGGTCTCGGGCTTCACGGACTGAGAGGAGGTCACCAAGGGGATGGTTCAATGGTTGACCACTGTCTGAGGTCCGCTAAGTAGCTATGATTAAGAAAACACGTTACACAACTCGATGTCCGAAATCAAAGAACAGTTAGGCAGGAGAGGCATTATGCATGCGGTTCCTTTTCTCTTCGCCTCTCCCTCTCCAGTGATCAAGCAACTCAAAATTAGACAAACGGTACGGGGAGCATTTTTTCTCTCTCAATGTCGCTGACATCATGCCCCTGTTTTCCAGCAATGAATCGTGTGCCACATGCGCATGGTTGGCATGGCATTTAGCCCTCCCTGCTGGTTCAAGCATGAGTTGCATTCAATGACTGTTATTGAGTGATTGTTATTGCGTTCTTTTCCACGATTATTCCTTTTATTTTCTCATCATCAGGCTGCAATATTCATTTTCTGGGCGCTCCTTCGTACAGGATGACGTTTGCCGTTTCTGCTCATCGCAGGTGTGTTCAGTCCCTTGCTTGTTGTGTGCAATTCACTCAAGTCCTTCGGCAGAGAAGAACCTGAACCTTCCCCATCTACGTTGGTTCGTTTTCCTTCTCTGTGCCATTGGAAACACTGTCTGAATTGTTTGACAGGTCTGGGACACAACTGACAGCTACCGTGGATCTCACACCGAATTAGTGCTCCGATACGCATGCACTCAGGTGCGTCCTACCACCAACCTTGGTAAATCTCTCTCAATCAATACTATAACCTTTGTACTTCGAATACTTAAACAAGATAACTAGTTTTCCTGCACCACGATACTGATCAATCTCTTTCTCAAGCTCGCAACATCTCTTGTTGGCCATTGTGTCTCTTGCAGGGACATTTTTACTCAGCAAGAAGGAGGTATTGCAGCAAAGACACGAGAGAAATAGCAACAGGACCAGAGGTGGCAGAGGAGGGAAGGGACGGTGAGGAGGGGATGGAGGAGGGGATACTGCAAGGCATGGAGAATGGGGATCATGATGGGGAAGCTGCCACCAGTTACCATGCCATGTGAGTCAATCTTCTAACTTGTCGCTAGTGCTGCTTAAAAGTTTTAGTTGCCAAAAATTCTCACAGAAGCTTTCAGTGAGAATCTCTGAGACTCGCCATGTCTGTCCATTGCTGCGAGCTGCTGCTAGATACCTTGCGCTCAGATGCATTCACTATATTCACCAAAATGCATTCAGTACGTGAGCTTGCATTTGTCCAAGGAATGCAAGTCATGCAAGTCACTCTTACTGTTACGATCAGAACGCATCCGTCCATTCTTGAGTCCATGCGATGCGAGCTCCTTTGGTTCCCATTTTTCCTTCCCTTTCTTTCTCCCCTTCCCTCCCACTCCCGCGCTTCAGCATGCAGCCGCAACGCCAGCCACAGCTGCAAGCAGTCATGCTCCTGCACCTCGTGTCGCTCCTCTCGCTGCTGTCGCTCCTCTTGCCACTCTTCTCGTCGACCCTCTTTCTCCTCCTCCTTCCGAACCGCTTGCTGCTCCTCCTGCTGCTACAGCCAATTGTGCCACAGCCGCTACAGGTCTTCGAGCTACAGTCGCTGCTGATCCTACATCGTCCTCTTGAGCCCATCGTGCTGCTTCACCAACTGCTTGGCGCCGTGTTTCCCCCTTCCCTGGTAACCTACAGTGCCGATGGAAGCGGGGGAGGGAAGGTTTGGCAGAGGGGTTAGAAAGAAACTTGGCAGGGTCGGGGGAGGGCATACAGGCAGAGAGGGGAGAGGGGGTTGGGATAGAGGCGGGAAGGTTGGCAGAGAGAGGGAAGGAGAGGTTGGCAGAGAGGGGGGAAGAGAGGTTGGAGAGGTAAGAGGGGGTCGGGATAGAGAATGGGAGGATGGTAGTGAGAGGGGTAAATGTTGGCAGCAAGGGAGTGAGAAGGTTGGCAGAGAGGGAGGGGGGAAAGCTTTGCAGTGACTGGGAAGGTGGGCCGAGGGTATATGGTTGGCAGAGAAGGGTGGGAGGGGGGAGAGGGGACTTTGGCAGAGATGGGGAAAAGGCACAGAGGGGGAGGGAAGGTGGTAGAGAGAGGGAGGAATTAAGCAGCGCGGATGGGGGAAAGCTTGCAAAGGACGGAGGGAAGAACGGTTGTTAGGTATGGGTAGAGGAGGTTGGCAGAGCAGTGGGTTGGAGAGTTGACTGCAAAAGAGGGAAGGCGAGGAAGGAAGGAAAGGGCGGAGAGGGGGGCAGAAGGTTAGTAGAGAGCCGATGCCATGCTGGCAGGGGTAGGGGTTTTGCAAAGGGGTAGCAGTGAAGGGGAGCTTAGATTTGGTGGGTAGAAGGGTGAGCGGAAAAGAGAAGGGGAGAGGTTGGCAGAGAAGGTTGGGGAGAGCAGGTGAGAGAGTAAGAGAGGCTGTGATGCACGGATACTAAATCTCGTCACTCTCTTTCACCATGTTGCGAGAAGGGGGCTCTGCTGTTGCCGGCTTGTCATCCCATGGGTGTCACAACTTTTGAGTTTTTGGTGCCTCGTAAAGCTGAAGCAATGTGGCGAGCGCAGTCTATTTTCATACAGGGCTTCGTTTTTGCCAACGCCCTTTTCCCAGAACTTCTCTCTTTTCCATGCATGCGCAGCCAAGCTTTTCTGAAATTCCGAAGTCAGCCATTCTAAATGGGGACTTGAAACTGATGTGGACCCACCACATGAGATCGCACATGCTTGTGCTCAAGCCGTAATACATACCCATCCTTTGGCCCATGCTCATCCTGCGTTCTTTCGTCTTCCATGCTTGTTCCCATACTCGTGTTCATGCGATTTTGTCCCCATGGACCTGTCTCGTGCGTTTCCTGTGCTACAGACCGTCATTCTCACCGTGCCTCTCAACCTGTTGCTGCCACTCGCGCTACAGCCATGGCTGCTCCTCGCATCATGACTCGAGCCGCTTCCCGTGCTGCCACCCGGTCCGCTTTGGCACCTTACACCACTGCCACCACTGGCACCCGCAGCACCGCCACTTCTACCACCCGCACTACTGGCAGCATTGCCACCCGCATCACCAGAAGCGCTGCCACCCGTACTAGGAACACCATTACTGCCAATACCACCAGCGCCACTGCCGCCCGCACCACCAGCACCATTCCCGCCCGCACTAGCAGAACCACTGCCGCCCGCACCACCGGCACCACCGTCGCCTCTGTTATCTGCACCAACACTACCACGGCCGCCCGCACCAACAGCAGCATTGCCACACGGCGGAATGGTTTGTTTGCAGCTGCTGACTCTCGCGCCAATGCCCGTAGAACTCGAGGTGAGCATCAGGCATGACCGGGCGTGCTTGCAGGCACGAGCACATGGGAGGGCAGGGTGGTTGTCGTGGTGTGTGTGTGATGAACTCGGAGACAATACATTGCACAGAGATGCTGAAAGGCAGGATTCAGGAAACGGGAGGAAGTTCAAAGCAATATCTGATGTCCCCAACTGTTGCATGCACACACTTGCATTCCCTCACCTGATGCATGCCTTTTTTCTGAAACCCGTGAGCCATGACTCCAACGCTCACCATTTCCCGCACCTCACCACCCGTCTCTTCAATTTCTCCTTCCCGGACCTCCCTCCTCCCAGCCGGGAGCAGGGATGGAGCATCGAGCTCGTTGGCACAAGTGAAGACCGGCAGGCACTGACCCACCCATCTGCACCCGTTCTCATCCGATGCCATGCCTGCCCCACCATCGGGCCATCGGCACGACGTCCTCGTGCCGCTTGCTGGCATCATGGCTCTTACTCGAGCAACAATGTTTATTAATGCATGTTCACTGATCACTAGAGTTTACCCACTGCAATCAATTTTCTTGGTTCAAGTGTTGCATTAGCAAGCTGTCGAAGGTTGCATGTTGCACTAACGCACATAAAGTTTGAAGCCTAGCCTACTAATGCCGTTCTAAAATGGCATATGAGAATATGAGATTGAGAGTATAACTACGAAAATCTTACCAAAAAGCGGAAAGTCCAACTGAACCGCATTCTAGATCTGTGGTTTTCCCCAGATGGCGCGGAGCTCCCTTCCAGCCAGCCGAAATTCACAGGCCTCCCCTCCCCCTTTACTACCCAGTCGCGTTCCTCCTCTTCAGCACAATCATCTGTCGTCAACTCCGCCTGATTACACTAGCCATGAAAGTCATTCCACAGAAAAGTGGCGGGAAGCTCGGAGGTTAGCGCTTTCCGTAGCCCTAAAAACTGCCAGCCCAGTCACGATGCGGCAAACCCATCGTCACCTCGATGGAATTCCACACAGAAGCAATAAGAGAAACCCTGGGTTGAACTCTCGCATCACAACGTCCCATGGCCTCAGAAGTTGCCGGTCCTCTCACGGTGTCGCGAACCCATCGCCACCTCCATGACATGCGAGCCACGGAAGCATGCCTAGGCACGGAAACGGATTCCAGCCTGAGTTTGGTCGCCCGATGCCAGCTAGTGGAGTGGATCCACCGAACCTCAATCTCAACCTCATCGCCCTGGCAGTGGTTGGTCCACACTTGTCGCCACCTTCCAGTCCTGTCGCTACACGATCCGTCAAAACACGCCATGGACACTCTTCCCGCCGACCTGCTCTGCGCCATTCCGCGCTGCGCCGAACCAACAGGTTCCCGCGTCTCGCCAGGCCAGGGCCGGAGGCGGGCCGGGGTCACGGCCAAGGTCAGGGTCAGACTTGGGTTCAGGCTTAGGGTCAGGTTCACGGTGAGGGCTGCTAATAGAAACGCTCATCTCCATCCTGGGGTTTGACCTCTCCTCTATGGACCCCTGTGAACCCACCTCCCAGGCCGCATGCGGCGGCAACCACGTAGGGCCAGGTGATGCATTAACTCCTTTAGGTCAGCCGAAATTCCTGTATGGTCGGTTCGATTGGGCACGAGACACTGGCAATGGTCAAGCTTACAACGTGCTTCTCCTCCATCTCCTTGTCATCTGCACGCATGCACACGGAAGCATTGGAAAAGGCCCTCATTTGCACGTGTGATTAGGCAATTGCATGCGCACTTACAAGCAAAGAACATGTTGAGAGGCATTTTGTTGGCCTTGACTGGACTCACCCTTCTGTTGCCCCTGCCGCCCTGGGATTTTCCCGCCACCTGTTTGAGACATTCTGCACCACATTTGCCCCTCGAAAGTGAGCATCATCCTTTGCTCGCTCTCCTCTCTCCTTCCTCTTTTGTTGTGTCTTGGTATGCGTGCATGGGCAGGAAACCGTAAACGATGCCGATTTTAGTCGACTCAAAAGTTGCTCGCTCTGCTCCTTCCCCCCTCTTGTGCTGTGCGTGCATGGCAGGGAGATAGTGAAAGACAACATTCTACACCACTTCCGAGGAGATGAGGTGTGGTGTGACGATCATGATGTGAGGAGGGGAATGGGTGGCGTGAGGAAAGGAGTGGGGATAGTGGGGCATGGAGTGAGCAGACAGTGAAAGACAACATTCTGCACCACTTCCGAGGAGGTGAGGTGTGGCGATGCGAGGGGGGGAATGGGAGGAGGTGAGGCATGGCGATGCGAGGGGGTGATGGGAGAGGTGCGGGATTGTGGGGTAGAGAGTCCGGGAGGGAGTAACAGATGACATTCTGCACCTCTTTTGAAGAATTGATGAGGCGCAATGATGCAAGTAGGGGGATGGGAGGTGTGAGGAAAGGAGTGGGAAGAGAGGGGCTGAAAGTCAAGGAGATGAAGTGAAGTGAAGTACTACAGTCTTCACCACGTTTGAGAAGGTGAGTGAGGCGTGACTATGTTTGTGGGGGGATTGGGAGGAAGGTGTGAGACAAGAAGTGTGGAGGGAAGTAGGGGGAAGGTGTGAGACAAGGGATGGGGATGGTGGGGCAGAGAGTCAAGGAGATGAAGGACACATTCTGCACCAATCCCCCCCTTGTTGCTCAACCGCGTGTGCCTCCCCACTTGACACACACCCTCTGCCTGTATCAACTATGGATGGCTTTCAGATGCACATGGCGTACACCGTACTCCATATGGCATCTCATCCCAAGCTCATCATCGTTTCTTTTCCCTGTCCTTCCTTCCAATGACATGAGCATCTTCCACACACCTCACTCAACACCTAGAGTCTTATTCCCCCTGGGCGCCTGCCCAACCTTTCACCCAATTCGCATCCCCATCCCCATCCCCATTCCACCCGCCAGGAGTGTGGCTGCAGGCCCCAGACCTCTACCACATGAGCATCTTCCACTTCCCACTCACACCTAGAGTCTTATCCCTCCTGCCTGCCTGTCCCACCCCTCCTCCCATCCGCATTCCCGTCCCCATCCCCCTTGCACCCACCATTCGTGTGGCTGCAGGACCCTGGCGTGTACCACATGAGCATCTTCCATGCCTCACTTGCATCAATTGACTCACCTGCTTCGTATTCCTTCCACTGCCTCACCTGCCCCCCATCCCCACCTATCCCCATCCCCTGGCAGGCGTGTGGCTGCAGGACCCTGAAGTGTACCACATGAGCATCTTCCATGCCTCACACCATCTCTCGCCCGTACCTGCCACCGCCAAACAGGTATGGCCAAACCTGCCACCGCCAATCAGGTATGATCAAGTTTTTTTGGCGCGACTTCGCTTCTTTCTTTTATTGCTCTGAAGCAGCCGCACTCTGCTCATAAACTAGCTAGTCTTGTCTCGTGTGTTGCCGCTGGTAACCATTCCGGTTCTTTTCTGTGTTGTCTGCACGGATCCACACCGCAGTGGGTGCCCCGTACATCAACAACCAGATATTTCACCCTTTGCTCCTCTCTCTGCCCCCCCCCCCCTCTGTCATTCCCTCCCCTCTCTCCCGGCGCTTCCTTCCTCCTCCTCTACCCTTTGCCTCCCCATTTCCTCCGCCCCCACCAGCTAGCGGACGAGGTGCGGGCAGTGAAGGGCGTGAGCAAGCGGCCCTCCTTATCAACCTGGAGCCTTTTTCCGCTCTCCATGCTCGCATCGCACACTTCCTACCATCACCCCTCCTTCGCCCCCACCAGCAAGCAGACGAGGTGCGGGCAGTCAAGGGCGTGAGCAAGCGCCTGTGTCCACCGCGTGTCTCTTTGGACCGGGTCTCACCGCCACTGGTGTGCTGCTGGCGTGCTGGCAGGTGAAGCATTCTAAATTGGTTTTATGCTGCCACTGGGGTGCTCCCTCCTTGCATGGAGGGCTTTTTAACGCTTGAGTGTGTATGGGCGTGGCACACATATGCGCCTGTGCCCCTTGCGTGTCTCTCTGGATCGGGTTATTCTCAGCGCCACTGGCACTTGCTGCTAACGTGCTGGCAGGTGAATCATCAGTGCTGCTTACATTGCATGAGTTGTTGCATTCACATGGGTGTTTTGGGGCATCATGGGCATGCGTGTCTGTGACTTGACAATATGGTTGTTGAGATGGAAAATTTTCAAGATGCACGCCTCTCTCTCCCTCATTCTCCCTTCTCTTTCCTTTCTCCCCATCTCTCCTTCCTCTCCTCCTGCACTTTGCCTCTTCTCCATTCCCTCTCGTCCATCACCGTGTACCCTATGTGTCGTTTCATTCATCTGCTTCTCTCCGCCGCATGCATTTCCCTCCACTACTTCTTCCTTTTCCCGTTGCTTCTTCTTACTCCTTTCCCATCCCCGCCTCTTCATCTTCATTTCAATCTTCACCTCGTATAAGTTCACTATTCCTCGTTTGCTCTCGCTTGTACCCATCACCTTGGATGCTGCTGCATCATATGCCTTATTTCCACAATACATTCACAGGGAATAGCAAGCTTTCATTCAGCTCATCACCTCTATTATCCCCACGCATCTCTCTTGCTGTTGCCTGTGCCTCATGCCATGCAGGCGGTGGTGAGGGAGCTATGGAACGTGGAGGAGATGGATGTGTTGGCGCTGGCGTTACAAGGCAATATGAGCGTCAAGCGATTCAACCTCACATGCATCCAACCAGACTGGGTTGGCACAATATAGACCTGTTTCCTTATAGGCGTAACATATCCATTTGAGGGGGTTGTCCTCCCAAGTTAGGAATTGTTTTTTCACAATACAAATGTTTGTTGCCCAAAGTGATCCTCATGTGCCAGTGCAAACCAAACAAAGGACCCCCTGAAATGTCATGGAGACCTGAGATGCGATTTTCTTAATAAACCCAATAAGTGTCCCTAGGGACTAATTAGCTCTTTTGCTATCACCCCGGGGCTTGTACGGTATCCTACAAAACAAAAGAAGAATGCCATGCTTATGTATAGATAGTCTGTTTGACTATCTATTTTGTGCCATATGGGAATAACAAACTCGATTTCTGACAACGCGTAGTAGCGAAACGAACTCGCCGTTGAGCAATGCCTAGGTTTCTTCTCGATAAGGGTGACCCTCGAGACAAGCTTTGCTCCATGCTCGCAATTCCCAGTGCCGCCAAGTTACTCTCTAGTCAGTCGCGATTCCAGCAACAGAGATAGGTACTGTCGAGAATTGAATACCTTTCCCGCCTCGCAGCTCTCTATGGCCCTAGAATCTGCCAGCGCTCTCGCGGCGTGGCGTACCATTCGTCGCCTCGACGGATTCCCGAGCCACATCAGCGCGGTTAGGCACGAAAATGCATCCCAGCCTGATCGCCAAGTCCCCAGGCTCGCTGTAGGATCCGTCATAACGCAGTCTCGAAGTCGCTTTCGCGAGCTCCTGTTGACTCTGCTACACTTCTTGGTCCTTGGACCGCTTCCCTCCAGCAGTGCTTCACCTTCCATGCGAACGCAGCGTCACAGCCATTAGCCTTAAATTCGACATTTCCGTGGGTTTTCCTCTGCATTCTTCGCCACTATCCTTCATTCCCGTTGCTACGGTGTCGTTAGCTCTCATCCACAATGGAGTTTCTTCCCGCCGACCTCCTCTACGCCATTCTGCGGCGCGCTGAGCCAGCGGGGCCTCGCGTCATAGCGCGGATGGCGTGCGTTTCGAAGACGCTCGATCGCATCGCCAAAGAGTCACTATGGCAGCTGCACTGCCGGGAGAGATTCTCCAATATCCACGAGAACCAACTCTCTGACGAGACAAGGAGAGCCCGCTTGATGGGCAGCGATAATAGCGAGGTCTCAACTATCGAAGCAGTGTCACGCAATAAATTTCGCTGCTTGCTGGAAGGGATGAATAGCGTCGACTTCAGAGCACTCGCTCAACTCATCCACTGGCGCCGAGGTGTCGGAAGGGCATGGCGGCGTGCAGAGGACGAGGACGAGTGTGACAGTGATGATCCGCGCATACGTTATAGCATCATGGACATCTATCTTGGTAGCAGTCTCTTCTTTTTTACGTGCAGCTACTATCTAGTCAGACCGCACATAGTCGAGGACGTTGTTTCGAATCACGGACTTCTTATTGACGGGAGCTCTTTTTGTTATCGTGCTTCATGATAGTACTCTGGATGACATGTTTGTTTTACATGGATGTAAGCCTCGTTGTGCTCTTTTCCCTTGTAACATGCCCCTGTAAATCAGCTACGATTTAGTTGCCACATGCGCTTGGTAAGCAGGCATAGCATTCAACATTGTTGGTCAGAACATGTGAGGCATTCGAACAAGTGTTTGTGCTTTCGTCTTCCTCATAACAATGGCCTTCTTTTCCAAGCCCCCTGCAGGTTTTATGATTTGCTTTGTGAGCGTTCTTTCATACAAGATGAGTCATGCCGTTTCTGCTCATCTAAGGTGTGTGTACCTAGTTGCCGAGTTCGACAATTTGCATGACAAGTGCGATCTTCCTATATAAAAATTTTCAGTTTCCCTCTTTGATCAAGTGTAGACATGGGCGGAATCATGTGGCTGGCAGGTGTGGGACAGTAGTGGAGAGTGGTATGCCAAATCTCGTACGGACCTGGAATTCAGCAACGGAATCACCACGCAACCCCTCGGTGTCGCTCACTATACCTGCACCCAGGTGTGTTCTACCACGAACCTCAGTAACATGGCTTCTATCTCTATTGGTAGCATTACTCTTGAAGTTCAAATACATGATATAAGTAGAGATGTTTTTCAAGGCATCACATCGTATCAGCTTCTTATCAAGTTGAACCACCTCCCTTCTCTTGTCCGTTATGTGTCTTGTAGGGGCATTTTTACTCGTTGTTTATCCAAGCTGACGTTGACACAACAATGGAGGCAGAAGAGGGGAGGGAGGCAGAAGAGGGGAGAGAGGCAGAAGACAGCGAGGATGGGAATCAAGCCAGCGGAGTTTATATCGGAAACTCTGCCAACCATGTGAGCGTCTCAACTTGTGTTCCGCTAGTGTTGCTTGCATGAAGCATTCTGGCTGCCAGGTTTCTTCCTGTTTCTTGCTTACCGGATTGGTAAGAAGCAGATCTGCCTGGCCGAGACCGGATCAGTCTGGGTGAGAACCAGAGTAGCCTGCAGGTTGAAGCTTTGAGAGTGGGCATGTCTGTCCTTGCTAAGAGCTGTTGGTGCCTTGTTATGAAATCCATCTTCCAGATGCTTTCAGTGAAAGATTCGTGAAAGTATCACCTCACCTTTGGTCATTTAGAGAATGCAACTTGCATAGGTCTCTCTTGCTGTTACAATCAGATTTCTGGCCGTTTTGTGTTTGCGGCCTCCTTTAATTCTTTGCCGTTCTCTCTTTCTCCCGCAATTGATCGTATGTGTGGTTCAGTCTGTTAGTGCAACGTCAGCCACGGAGGGTTTATCAGCTGCAGGCAGTCATGCACCTGCTCCACCTGCGGTTACAGCCATTCGGAACACGGCTGCCACAGCTGTTCGCGGTACAGCCGTTGGCGGACCTCCTGCGTCGTCCTCTCGTGCCCATCGATCTGCTGCACCAACAGCCCCGCAGCATAATATAACCTCCACTGGTAACCTGCACATGCAACCTGCAAAGGTAACCTGCATTTGGGGAAAGGGGGGAGATTGGCAGTGAGGGGGAAGGAGAGAAGCTTGGCAGGGATGGAGGAGGGCACACAGGCAGGGATGGTGTTGCGATAGAGAGGGGAACGTGGACATCGAGAGCGGGGGAGAGGTTGGCATAGAGGGAGGGATGTTGGCAGAGAGGGTTGAGGTTGGCTTGGCGGAGGAGGAGGTGGAGGGGGGAGGGAGGGGGGTGGGGGAGGTGGGGATGGTGGTGGCGGGGGTTTGACAAAGCGGGGGAGAGGAGGTTGGCAGAGAGTGGGGGAAAGCTAGCAGAGAGGATGGGGAATGCTTGGAAAAGACAGAGGGTAGGTGTGTGGGGAGAGGGAGGTTGGCAGAGTGAGGCGGTGACTTGTTGGAAGAGGGGGAAGGGGAGGTTGGCAGAGAGAGTGGAATGCGCTGAGGGAATAGGGGAGGTTGGCGGACAACGGGGTTAGGAATGTTGAGAGAGAGGGGAAAGGGCAGAGATGGGGATAGAAGGTTGGTAGTTAGCGGTGCGGGGGAGAGTGAGGGGGGAAAGGTCAGAGAAGGACAGAAGGTTGGTGGAGAGCGGTAAATTTAGAATCTGCTTCTAAAAGGGCGAGCAGTGCAGAGAAAAGGAAAGAAGGTTGACAGAGAGGAGGGGGGAAAGGTTAGCAGAGTGCAGAGAGGGGGTGAGAGATTGCGAGAGGCTGTGATGGAGGAGAACAATATCTGTTGGCTTATTTTCACCGTGGTCCCGCTGCTTGTCATCCCCCTGCAGTCACAGTTGGGTGGCTCAAAAGCAAAGTACAGTTGGCGAAAGCAGTCTATATTCACTCTCTTGTTCCAGAATTCCCTCTGATTAATATTCGTTTTTTTCCAAAAGTCAGCCATTCTAATTTGGGACTTGAAACCCATGTGGTCCCACCACACGTGATCGCACATGCTTGTCCTTATGCCATAATACATACCCATCCTTTGCCCCATGCTCATCCGGCGTTTCCTATCTTCCTTGCGTGTTCCCATACTCATAAGCAAGCAATTCTAATCCGATGGCCTGTCTCGTGCGTTTCCGTGTGCTACTGCCCATCCTCCTCGCCATGCCTTTCAACATGCAGCATCTGTTGCTGCCACGCGCGCTACAGCTGTGACTGCTCCTTGCATCACCATGCCAGCTGCTCCCCGTGCTGCCACCCGATCTGCTTTGGCACCTCACACCACCACTATAACTACCACTGCCACCACTGCTACTGGCACTACTGGCACCATCGCCACCCGCCCCATTGCCGGCCACAGTACTGGCACCACTGCCACCCATCTTGCCAGCACCACTGCTGCCAATTCTACTGCCACAACCGCCACCCGCATCACAGGCACCACCGCCGCCCGCACCACCCGCACCACCCACACCACCGGCACCATTCCTACCTGCACTACCACCACCACTGCCTCCCGCACCACCGGCACCTCTGCCTCGCGTGCCACTGGCACTTGTGCTGCCCGCACCAGTAGCACCACTGCAGCCCGCACTAGTAGCATGACTGCCGCCCAAAGCACCGGCACCATTCCTGCCCGCACCACCCACACCACTGCCGGCTGCATTGGTAACCGCACCAGTGCCGCCCCCCGCACTACCAGTACCACTCCCTCCCACACTACGACCACCCTTGCCGGCCACACCTCAGGCACCATTGGCACCATTCTTCGCACCACCGGCACCAGTGCCACCAGCACCACTCCTGCCAATACCACCACCACCACTGCCACCCGCACCAACAGCCATACTGTCACTCGCGCCACAGACACGGAGGGCCGTATCGGAACGGCAGCTGCCTCTCATGCCCCGCGCCACAATGGCCCGTTTGCCGCTGCTGACTGCCGCGCTAGTGTGCGTACCACTCGAGGTGAGCAGTGTGTGAGAGAAGGAGTTAGGAATGAAGTTGATAACTTGATTGAGAATCATGGGGGTATACATAGTAATGGGGTTGGATGCTAACCTAAGGTGACATTATTGGACCCCAACCAAGAAGTTGGGTTGGGAGATTATTGGTGGGGTCCAATAATGTTGGCCAAGTTGGGGTTGGGCCAACATTATTGGAGGGGGCCAATAATTCTACCCAACCCAACCTTTTGGGGTCCAATAATTGGACCAAGGTTGGGTTCCAACCAACAAACTGGGTTACCCCTGTTTGTACACCTAAACTAAGTTTGGGTGGTTAACTCTAGCCTGTCCTATAGCATATATGCAGGTTACAAGAGGAGAGGGATTCTAACACAACCCCTTAACCTGCAGAGATGCGGAAAGGCTTGAGGGAAGCAACCCCTGAATCAAGGCGCGCCTGGGGGAGCGAGGCCGATAAGGCGGAGAAGAGCAGAGTGGGCAGGGCGAAGAAGGGCTTTGGTAAAGATATCAGCCAAGTTGGCTTCAGCAGCGATCTTGCGAACGGCAATGAGGTTCTGGTGGACGAGTTCGCGGATGAAGAAATAGCGGAGCTCAATGTGCTTGGAGCGACCATGAAAGACGGGGTCCTGGGTGAGATGGATAGTGCTAGCGTTGTCACACCAGAGCGTGGGACAGCGCTGGGGTGCACCAAGCTCTGCCAGAAGAAAGCAGAGCCAGCGGGACTCTTGCGCAGCCATGGTGCCAGCATAGAGCTCAACTTCGCAGGAGGAGAGGGCGACGGCAGATGAGCGAGTGGAACGCCAGCTGATAAGCCCGCTGCCGAGCGTGAAGCCATAGCCTTGTGAGGAGCGGCGGTCTGGCTGGGAGTCTGCCCAGGAGGAGTCGCTGAAGCCAGAGAGAAGGGAAGGGGAGGATCCACCCAATGTGAGGGCGTGATCATTGGTGCCACGGAGATAGCGGAGGACCCGCTTGGCGGCAGCCCCGTGGTCCTCAGTGTGGCGGCCGGAGCTGACGAACTGAGCAAGGACGCTGATGGGGTAGGCGAGGTCGGGACGAATGCACATCATCGCGTACATCAGCGACCCAACAAGCTCGGCATAGGGCCAGGAGGAGGTGGAGGGGGAGGTGGGTGGCGCAAGCTGGTGACCGAAGGGGAGGGGGGTGGAGACCGGTTTGGCCTGCGCCATCTCGAACTTCTCCAGGACCTGGCCGATGTAGTGGGACTGGGAGAGGGTGATGGTGCGGGCGGATCGATCACGAGTGATAGCCATGCCGAGGTAATTCTGCAGCGGACCAAGGTCCTTGCACTTGAGACGTTCCTGAAGTGACCGCTTTACTTGCTCCATGTCGGCCTTGGTGTCAGCGAGCAGGATCATGTCGTCAACGTAGACCGAGATGAAGAAGCGACGGGGGGAAGAGCGGATGAAGAGGCTGGCATCGGAGTGGGAGGCGGAGAAACCAAGGGACTGGAGAGTGGCAGACAGCTTCGCATGCCATTCTCGTGGTGCCTGTTTCAGGCCGTAAACAGGTCGCCGAAGTTGCCAGACGGTGTTGTCAGGGAAAGCAGCATGAAACCCGGGAGGCCGGCGGAGGAAGATACGCTCGTGCAGTTCGCCTTGCAGGAACGCGTTGGAGACGTTCATGGAGTCAATCTCCATGTCGTCACGCGCACCAATATCCATAAGGGTGCGTAGGGTGGCCTGCTTGACAGTGGGGGCAAATGTGAACCAGTAGTCTTCAGCCCAGGTCTGGGTGAACCCTTTGGCAACGTAGCGGGCTTTGTAGACTGGTTCTTCTCCCGGCAGCTGCTTGACTCGAAAGATCCACTTGCCCTCGACAAGGTTGGCGTCAGGGGGGAGGGGAACGTCGATGAAGGAGTCGTTGCGGATAAATGCCTCACATTCCAGGAAGATGGCGGCTATCCACTTGTCAGCGTCAGGGCAGGTGATAGCCTCCTGGAAGGTGGAGGGGACGAAGATGGTGGGAGCGGAGATCGCGCTAAGGATTAGAGCGCCGAGGAGGCTAGGGTAGAGCGTGGTGAGAGAGGGAGTGTGGCGCTGGACCATGGCGAACTCCTCATGGGAATCCTCGAGCTGGTTGAGGGAGGGAGGTGGCGGTGTGCCAAGGATGGGATCAAGGGAGCGGGTGTGCATGCGAGGGAGGAGGAAGGGTGAGGAGCGGGCAATTGCCCTCTGCCGCTGCTGCTGCTGGTGCTGCTGGAACCCCTGCTGCTGCTGCGGCTGCTGCTCCTCCCGATGCTGCTGCCCTTGCTGCTGCTGCTGCTGCCCCTGCTGCTGCTGCTGCTGCCGCTGCTGCTGCTGCTGCTGCTGCTGCCGCTGCTGCTGCTGCTGCTGCTGTTGCTGCTGCTGCTGTTGGGACGGAAGAGAAGGAGAGGGGGGAGGGGAGGAGGGAGGGGGGGCCACGGAGTGTGCAGGGGATGCAGGAGCAGTGGGATCGTAGATGTCGGCAGATGAAGGTGGCGGAAGCGGAGTAGGGAGAGGTGGGAGAAGGGGTGCAGGGGGGAGGAGGGGAGGGAGCACAGTGTCGGTCCAGGTGAGAGGACGTGTAGGAAGAGGGAGGGGGTCTGGTGGTGAAGAGGAGTAATAGGGGGTGGTTTCGTCAAAGACGGCGTCAATGCTGCGGATAAGGCGTCCAGAGGGAGGGTGAAGGAAGAGGTAGCCAGGCGAGTCGCGGTTGTGCCCGAGGTAGACACACTTGAGGGCGCGAGAAGCGAGCTTGCCGTGGGTGCGATCGGGTGGAGGGATAAGTACATATGCCTTGCAACCCCAGACACGGAGACCAGCAGCGTCAGGTTTGGTGCCTGACCAGTGTTCCGTGGGGGTGGTGGTAGTATGTTGAGGATGGGAGTGAAGGTTGAGGAGGAGGGCAGCATGGAGCAGAGCATAGCCCCAAAGGGAAGGAGGGGTGGAGGCGTGAGCGAGGAGACAGCGAGCAATCTTGGTGATTTCGCGAATCCTGCTTTCTGCGACACCATTCTGCTGCGGGGAGTGGGGAAGGGTGTGAGTCTGTTGGATGCCATGGGTGGTACAGTAGTGGGAGAGAGTGCGATTGAGGAATTCGCCTCCCCCATCAGAGTGTAGGCGGCCGACGGGACGCTTGAAGTGGGCGCGGCATTGCTCTGCCCAGTTGATGATCATGGTCGGCGCCTGGTCTTTCGTGTGGAGGAGGAAAATGGAGGAGTAGCGGTTGTGGTCGTCTACTAGGACCAGCATGTAGCGATGGCCCTGACGGGAACGAGTGGGGGAGGGTCCCCAGAGGTCCATATGGACTAGGTCAATTGAAGCGGGAGCAAAGGATGGGTGGCTGTGGTGGGGAGACTGTTTGAGTTTGCCGTGGATGCAGGAGGGGCATGGAGGGGCTGGAGAGGAAGGGAGGGGAGGAAGAGTGGGAGGGAGGCTGTGAAGGAGGCGAGAGGTGATGGCAGTGCGGAGAGCGGCGAAATTGGGGTGGCCGAGTCGGTGATGTAGCAGTACAGCGGGTGGGAGAGATGATCGGAGGTGGAGGGGGTTGGAGTGAGGGAGGGTGAGAGAGGGGGAGGTGACTGCTGTTGCTGCTGTTGCGGCTGCCCCTGCTGCGGCGGCTGCAGTTGCTGCTGCTGCTGCTGCGGCCCCTGCTGCTGCCCTTGCTGTGGCGGCTGCTGTTGCTGTCGCGGAGGTGAGGTAGGGGGATGGGGAGGGTTAGTGGAGGTGCCAGCACGAGTGGTGACATGGCAGAAGGATGGCCAAGGGGTGCGGAGAGTGTAGAGGTGAGTGCGGGGGCAGAGGGGAATGCGTAGTAGGAAGCGACCGGTGGCGGTGTGGTAGAGGTCACAGTAGGTGGCATTACCTGGATAGACGGCAGTGATACCTGCATTTTGGATTTCACGGTGGGAGAGGAGGTTGTTACGGAGGGTGGGGATGTGGAGACCAGTTATCTTACCAGAGGGGAAGAGTGTGCAGGGGAGAGTGGAGAGGTGTGTGCATGGGATGGTAAAGCTGCTGTCCGCGCCGTGAACCTGAGTGGGAGGAGAGAGGGGTGTGAGTGTACCAGCATCCTTGAGAGCGGTCTCAGTGGCCCCACTATCGAGGACGAAGTCCAGAGTGGGTGAGGAGGAGGAAGAGACTGAGTACTGGAAAGTGGTTTCATTAATGTTGGATGGGTACATGGAAGGAAGAGAGGGTGAGATAGTAATGTTGCCAAGAAAGATGTCCTGGGAAAGAGGAGTGGCAGTGCTACTAAGGGGAGGTGGAGTACCCCAAAGGGGGGCCGGTGAGGCCTGAGCGGCTATGGCTGCTGTGCCAAAATTCAGTTGTTGCTGCTGCCAAGGAGGAGGGCTGGGTCCCCACTGGGGCTGGAGTCCAGTTCCCCATGGGTGCTGCTGCGGGTGCGGCTGCTGCTGAAACAGCTGTCGCAGTTGCTGCTGCTGCTGCTGGTGCTGCTGCTGCTGCTGTTGTTGTTGCTGCTGCTGCTGCTGCTGCTGCAGGAGATGCTACTACTGAAGATTGAGGAAAGGTGTGGGAGGAGCAAGGAGGCGGAGGTGGGCAGGGAGGTAAGCGGGGTTGGTTTGGATGTCGGCAAGAGAGGGACGTGGGGAAATCGTGCCCCACTTTGGAGGAGTGCCAACGTTACCTCGTGCGTACCAGGCATCGTCGAGAGCCTTGAAGCAAGTGCCAGGGGGATGGTTGGTCTGCCCGCAGGGTGTTCCAGCCCGGGGACCATAGCGGCGGACATAAGTGCAGGGAGGAAGAGTGCCAGGACGACTCCCGCGGCTCGCAGAGGCTCCGCCTGAATTGGTGGTGCCATGCTCATCCCCTGTGGTGCCACCACGGCTGCTTGCGCTGCTGCTTCCTTGACCGCCACCTCCCTTGCCCCCACCTCCTCCTTTGCCGTTGTTCTTGCTCTGCTTGCGGGGCTGGGTAGCGTTGAGGGAGGAGGAGGAGGGTTGGGAGGAGGCGAGGTTGACAATGGGAGTGCGGAGTTTGACTTCAGTATCAATGATCCATTGTTCAACGGAGGCGAGATCAGCCATGGGATTGGCTTCGGTAAAGGCGTGAAGGCGGGATTCATAGTCTGGGGTGAGGTTAAAAAGGAGGCGGTGGATTTGGAGGGGTTCGGAGAGGCCGGCTTGGCGGGCTTCGAGGCGATCAGCTACCTCTCTCAAGCGTCCGACATAGTCAACCGCTCCGTCACAGGTGGCGAGGGTGATTGAAAAGTATTCTTGAAAAAGGATGCCGACGGAACTGATGTCGCGGCGCTCAAACATGGCATGGAGTTCTGCCCAGATGACCGAGGCACGGAGTTCCCGAGCCTGGAAGCGGCGCATGAGGGAGTCAGGGAGAGCACCAAGGAGAACGGTGCAGGCGCGGGTGTCAGCAGCTGTCCAGGCGATAAGTTTTGGGGTGAAGGCAGCCATGTCGTCTTTGTATTTGGCGACGATGGCGAGGTGAGCATTGCGGCCAGCAACCGCCTGGTCATAGGCGTCAACTGCTGCATCGTACTCGGCTTTGCGGATAAGGTATGCACGGCGGCGTAAGATGAAATCTGCATCAGCGGTGGCTTGGTCGGTGGTGAGCTGGAGGTCGGGTTCAAGAGGGGGATCGCCAGGAGAGGGAGGGAGAGGAGGAGTCTCGCCGGGGTGATCAGGTTCGGTGGGGGGGAGGGCATGGGGACGGCGGAGGATGACGTCAAGGACGCGGTAGGGGGGAACCCATGCGTCGGAGAGGACCCGTCGGATGTTGCCGACGAATGAGTGCCAGTTGACGGCGGATTTGTCCGCTGCAAGCTGCAGTTTATCGATGGAGGAGGGATCAATAGGAGGAGGGAGGGGGGAGGGGGAGGGTGTGGCGTTAGCCATGATGGACGGCTGCGGGTGGACCCGCAGTGGTCACGGAGGAGAGCGGCGCGGGCGGCAGCGGCTGGCGAGGCCGCGGCGGCGTTGGCGCGGAGGCGGCGTCGAGGCCGCGGAGGGGAGTGGCGCGGGCGGCAGCGGCTGGCGAGGCCGCGGCTGCACTGGCGCGGAGGCGGCGTCGAGGCCGCGGAGGGGAGCAGCGCGGGCGGCAGCGGCTGGCGAGGCCGCGGCTGCGCTGGCGCGGAGGCGACGTCGAGGCCGCGGAGTGGCGTGGGTGGCGGCGGCTGGCGAGGCCGCGGCGAGGCGGGCGCGGAGGCGGCGTCGGGGCCGCGGAGGGGAGCGGCGCGGGCGGCGGCTGCTGGCGAGGCCGCGGCTAGGCGGGCGCGGAGGCGGCGTCGGGGCCGCGGAGGGGAGCGGCGCGGGCGGCAGGCGGCTGGCGAGGCCGCGGCTGCGCTGGCGCGGAGGCGGCGTCGAGGTCGCGGAGTGGCGCGGGCGGCGGCGGCTGGCGAGGCCGCGGCGAGGCGGGCGCGGAGGCGGCGTCGGGGCCGCGGAGGGGAGCGGCGCGGGCGGCAGGCGGCTAGCGAGGCCGCGGCTGCGCTGGCGCGGAGGCGGCGACGAGGCCGCGGAGGGGAGCGGCGCGGGCGGCGGCGGCTGGCGAGGCCGCGGCTGCTCTGGCGCGGAGGCGGCGTCGAGGCCGCGAAGTGGCGCGGGCGGCGGCGGCTGGCGAGGCCGCGGCGAGGCGGGCGCGGAGGCGGCGTCGGGGCCGCGGAGAGAAGCGGCGCGGGCGGCAGCGGCTGGCGAGGCCGCGGCGAAGCGGGCGCGGAGGCGGCGACAAGGCCGCGGAAGGGAGCGGCGCGGGCCGCAGCGGCTAGGGAGGCCGCGGAGCTGTGGAGGGAAAGGGCGCTAAAGGGGGGGGAGGGCGGCAGGATAGCCGCGAGGGAAAAAAAAATGAGGGAGGAGGCCGGTGGTTGCGGCGGCCGGGTGGGCCTTTGAAACGAGTGGGGTAGGCCTAGGATTGATAGCTCTATACCATGTGAGAGAAGGAGTTAGGAATGAAGTTGATAAGTTGATTGAGAATCATGGGGGTATACATAGTAATGGGGTTGGATGTTAACCTAAGGTGACATTATTGGACCCCAACCAAGAAGTTGGGTTGGGAGATTATTGGTGGGGTCCAATAATGTTGGCCAAGTTGGGGTTGGGCCAACATTATTGGAGGGGGCCAATAATTCTACCCAACCCAACCTTTTGGGGTCCAATAATTGGACCAAGGTTGGGTTCCAACCAACAAACTGGGTTACCCCTGTTTGTACACCCAAACTAAGTTTGGGTGGTTAACTCTAGCCTGTCCTATAGCATATATGCAGGTTACAAGAGGAGAGGGATTCTAACACAGTGCGCTTTGAGGCCGTGCTTGCGGGCTCGAGCACAATGGAGGGGGTGTGTGTTGGTGGTGGTGGTGTATGCTGCTGAGGAGTTGTTCTTGGTTTCCATGTGTGGAGGGGGCTAGTCATGGTGGTGGTGTATGTTGCTGTGGAGTAGTTGTGTTGACTTTGTGTGGGCATGGGAGACAATGCATTGCAAGATGATGCTGAAAATCATGTTGCATGGGAGGTCATGAGGTCGTTCCAAGTCTTGCTCGTATGTCCCTGAGCCACAGAGGTTTTTTATCTCTCCATGCGTGCAAGTCTCCTCAAATCAATGCATGAATCGACTCACTATATCATCTGCTGGGGAGCCGTCACTTCCTTCTCATCTTTGCTCCCTCGTGCTGTCCAGCGTGCCAAGACCCTGAATCACTCTCCCCTCCCTCCCAGCTCATCTTCTCATTCCTCCTTCCCACACCTCCCTCCTCCCAGCCGGAAACAGCGATGGTGCATCGAGCTCGTTGGCACAAGAGAAGACCGGCAGGCAGTGACCCACACATCTGCTCTGCACCTGTTCTTCTGATCCGATCTGGGGGCATGCCTGTCATCCAAGCTGCCCTGGCATCTGCACGGTGCCCTCGTCTGATGCTACTTGACATCATGTCTGTGACTCGGCTCGAGCAATGGTGACATCTCATTGTGCTTCTTGCAACCACAGCATGTTGATTGTTGGAGGTTGGAAACACAATCTACTAGGCTCCACAGCATGTCAATTGTAGACTTTACAAGCATGTCCTCTAAAAGGTTATAAAAGAATGCACTAAAAAATGTTACTGTTACAAGAGAGTGAAGCGTGAACGACGATTCGTATGTACTAGCACAGCAGTTTCAATTCAAGACATTGACCATGCACCATAAACAACCGAGGCAGAGAAGCAGAGAGGGCAAGAAGAAACATCTGATGCCACAACACTCACCCGTATTCAGGCAGCAGAGGGATGTAGTCAATAACCACTATCGAGACCACTGTAACGAGTATTGCGATCGCAATCGCAGCCGCGTGGAGCCACGTCCACCGTCGGATGTCCATCGCAATCGCAGCCGCGTGGAGCCACGTCCACCGTCGGAGGGATTGGAGGAAGAAAGAAAGAAAGGAACATAGTTCTGAATTGGTAGATGAATCACATGAGCAGGAGCACGAAGACAGAGTTTTTTTGTAAACGAATGCCATGCGGATGTAGTTCCTCCAACCAATGCCCACGAACCACTTTTGGGCATTTCGAGACCCACCAGAAGAGCAGGAGCACAAAGATGGTGTTCTTGTAGAGGTTGTAGACGATCATGTAGGCCATGCGGTGTAGTTCCAGTGCCCGTGCACCAGCAGCAGGCGAGCGAGGAAGCGGAACTGTGAGATGGCAAAGTCACTCGCCATCACTGCTTGTCTCCCCTCAAGGCCTCGAATCCCCACCCCTAAAGCTGCTGTTTGAATCATTGGCTTCTGAGGGGAGGCATGGGAAGTTGGGGGAATAAGAGAGGAATAAGAGAATCAACGATTAGCACGAGTAACAGGCGAGCAAGGAAGCGGAACTGCGAGATGGCAAAGTTGCTCGCCATCACGGCCTGCCTCCCCTCGTGGCCCCGAATTCCCACCCCTATGGCGGCTGTCTGAAACATTGGCACGTCGTTGGCTCCTTACAGTTAGTTGACGAGCGGGAGAGTGGGAATAGGACAGTAGGAGAGATTTACGAGATCAAAAAAACGAGATGGCGGAAGAATACGACAAAGCTGAAGTGGCACTTACAGAAGCTGCTTGCTCGCCAGCACACCCTGCCACCCCTTGTACGCCCATGCACCTGCATGGATGGTTAGTTAGTTCCCCTGGAATCAACACACCATCTCCAGTCGCAAAGGCTAAGTTCTCTGCTATCAACCACTATCCTCAATAATGGGTTGCTTGTTCTCCTAAGACCAACTCTCCATCCCTGATTGTGCCGGGTGATTTCCCCTGGACTCAACTCACCGTCGCCTATTGCGAGGGTTAATTCCCCTGACAGCTGCCTCACAAGTGCCACCACAGCAGCCTTCTGCATGGGCACCACTCGACAGCACAGCACCACGGAGCAGCGCTGCGAAGGATAGGCAGGCGGGCAGAGAGGCAAACGGGGGGGGGCGTCGGAAAAGGCAAGGAGAGCAAGGCCATTGGCAGGATAAGCACAAAGAGAGCTGCGTGCGACAGAGGATTGAAGGGGCACGGAGGAGAAAGGGGGGACGGACAGGATAGGACGATGGTGGATCCGATGGTGGAGGAGAGGCGAATGGGCGAGACCAAGGGACCGAGGCACCGCCTCCCCCATCCACACTTCCCCTTCATTGGTTTCCTCCGAGCAACCCACTGCATGCTCTCCCTCGTCCAGGTTCGCTGTACCATAGATCACCATCCTCCATCTTTTCCCTGCTCCCCTACCCTTCACTCCCCTCCCCTTCTCCCCCCTCCCCTTCATCCCCCTCTTCTCCCTCCCTTTCACCAGCTTCGAGTTCACTCCCCTTATCCTCCTCCGCTGTCCCCACTTCCTCCTCATCCTCATCCTCTTCCTCCTCCTCCCCCTCATCCTCTTCCTCCTCCTCATCCTCTTCCTTATCCTCCTCCTCCTCCTCCTCCTCATCCTCTTCCTGCTCCTCCTCCTCTTCTTCCTCCTCATCCTCTTCCTCCTCCTCATCTTCGTCATCTGAGCCACCCACTGCACGCTCTCCCTCATCCAGGTTCGCTCTACCCTTAATCACCACCCTCCCTTCCGACAGCAGCGGGCAGCCACTGACAACGCATGCCAGCAGCTTCCCCATATGCTGCAGGCCCGAGGGCAACCGCGCCAGCAGCTTGCACCGGAACAGGCTCAATTCCTCCAGTCCGGGCAGCAGCGAAAAAGTTTCGGGCAGGCTGCAGAGTTCGGGCAGCGACTGTAGAGTTAGTTTCTTCAAAGCAGAGAGCTTCCAGAAGTCATCTGGAAGGCACGAAATCCCGACATCGGACAAAGAGCACGACTCCAGCCTGCAGAGATCAGGGAAGGACTCGGGAAGCCTGGTTAGGCCCGGGCTGTTGTGAATCTCCAAAGACCGAAGCTTCTTCAGCTGCCCGAATGATTCGGGCAGAGCAGTCAAGCTCAGGAGACAGTTAAGCTGGAGGGATGTGAGAGCTGAGAGCTGCCCTATCGACTCTGGCAGAGCTAGCAGGCTTTCGGCAACGCTGATCGCCAGTAACTGCAAGCGAGTGATATGAGAGATGGAATCTGGCAGCGAGCGGAGGCGATCCAGTCGCAGGATTTCCAGCTTGGTTAGCGACAGGAAGGAGCCCAGGGATGGACTGAGCTGCTGCAGGGGAAGCTTCTCAATCTTGAGGTGGCCAAGGGAGGGAAGCAACAGTCTCTTGTCACTCTCCTCAGATCCCCCACAGCTGCCAGTGCCACTGCTGCTACCAGTGTGACCGGGTAACTCACGGCAGGTGATTCTCCCCCCAAGCTCTTGCCCGGCAGCTCCCGTGTGTGCATCGCCCATGTGTGCATCCCCAAACAGCAACTCCAGCGCGCTGCAGCAACTCAATTCCAGAGACTTCAGCCGCTCCAGCTGCCACAGCGACCGAGGGAGCGACTTCAGATTGGGCAGATCGACCAGCTGGAGTGTTTCGAGCGATCCCAGCCGTCCGATTTCCTCTGGCAGCGCCTCAAATAGCGGGCATCTGACGACCACGAGGCTGGTGAGAGCGCAAGCGATGGCAGGGAGGGAGGCGGGCAGGGCGGGCAGGTGTGGCAGGGAGGAGAGAGAGAGGTCCTTGAGGCTTGTCCAGTGGGAGAACCCCCCTGGTAGCGCGCCTCGTAAGCTGTGTGCATGACACAAGTTCAGGGTTTCGAGGGCAGAGAGTTTGGAGAAGGATGGAGGGAGGTGGGTGAGAGCAGTGCATGCGAGCAGAATCAGTCCACGCAGGCTATGCAGACCATCCCCCATGCCCTGCGGTAGCGCCGTCAGCTTGCGACAGTGACTGATTTCCAGCAGTTCGAGGGAAGTTAGCAGAGTGAGGGAGTCAGGAAGCTGTGCCAGCAGGCTGCATGAGTCTATTTTCAGCTCCTTGAGGCTCGTCAGGTTGCCAAGCGATGCTGGCAGGCTGTTCAGCTGCTGAAGCTTAACCAAGTGCAGAGTTTCCAGGGCAGTCAGCTGCCCGAATTCCTCGGGCAAAGATTGCAAAGTTCCAGCCCTTTGAAGCGTGAGGACCTTGAGTGTGGTGGCGAGGTATTCAGAGGGACGCAGGTGCACGGCAATTCCAACGTCTAGCCTGAGAGTGCGTAGGCGTGGGAGGAGAGCGATGTCGACAGGCATATGCTGGAGGTGAAGGTTGAGGAGGATAAGGTCCGTGAGAGGAGGCAGGCGGGAAAGGGAGGCAGGAATAAAGTCCATATCGCGGCAGTAGATCACGGAAAGGAGCCGCAGCCGCTGCAGCTGCCCGAGACTGGCGGGAAGGCTGGTGATCCCCTCTACGGCCTCCAGACGTAGGGTTTCAAGCGCCGGCAGGTTACCGAAACTCTCGGGCAGCGGCGAAAGGTGTTCGCAGTTGGAAATTTCGAGGGTCAGCAGGGATGAAAGGTTGGAGATGGATTCGGGCAGCTGAAGCCCTAATTCACAGCCGTTGATGGAAAGATGCGTCAAGTTGGTAAGCTGCCCGAAAGAATCGGGAATGGAGCGGAGACGCGTGCATCTTTCCAGCCGGAGCGACTTGAGCAGCCTCAGATTGCCGAAGTGCTGAGGCAGTTCATCCAGGCCGTGCATTTCAATCACGAGATGCGCGAGTGCCTGTAACGAGGTGAACGCGTCTGGAAGGAGAGTAATTCTCCCCCTGTCGGTGATGTGTAGGCTCTTGAGTGACGCAAGGCCGCCGATTGACGCAGGAATGGTGGTCAGGTTTGACTGACAATCAAGATGAAGCGCCTCCAGCCGTGTGCATTTCTCAAGGAAATACGAAAGTCCGTTTACAGTGAAACCCCCTCGTCTGTACCGTCGATCCATGGTATCGACGAGGAGGTCCGTCAGATCTGGACACGTGTCGGCTATCCGCAAGAGGAGGGAGTCAGGGACGGACGTGATGCTGCCGTTGGCGAGGACGAGCTTTCGGAGCCTTGGGAATGACGAGAGGTGCGCGAGCTCGCGAGGAGGTATGCGACGCTCTTCGCGAATCTGGATGTGCTCGTGCACGCTACGGGCAATGCGATGCCATTTCTTGCACACTAGTGCGTGCTGGAATTGGCCGTCGGATCTACCTGCGAGTCGGAAGATAATGGAAAGAAGATCGTCTGACAGCGATTCAAACGGTGACGCGGCAGCCATTCTGGCTAGTTGATAAGATGCCATGGTAACTAAATAGCTCGAAGACTAATAAGGCCGTAGCGAGAGTCCCTTACAACAGGAAGGAGCTTCAGGCGCGCAGGGAAACTTGCAGAAATGAAATGGCCGAAGTCATTGTGAGGGAGTCTGTGTTTGAGTGTCGCTGTGACAATCCCTAGGCTGGATCCAACCTATCGCAATGTACAGTACTAATCTCGAAGCTCTACTGTAGCATTTGACGAACTGGAGCGCGAGAAGAAATGGGTGTTACAGTGCGCCAGACTTGACCTAGTTTTGTTCACCTTTATGTTGACTCCGCTAAGCCGTTGGCTCGTTCCAATTCTTTCGGTGGAGGTTCCAAGTTTCCTGAAAGGGCGGTCCGACAGTGTGACGTCACGTCACAAACATCCCAGTCCTTTCATCCATTGAAGGCCATCGAAACCGTCCGATGGGCCTCGACGTGCAAATGGATGGCATGGATGTTTTTCTTCCTGCCCAGGGTCTGGGTGCCCCTCTCAATGTCGGCATGCTATGCCTACGCTATTGGACAAGACCTACAAAGCCATGCCAACATAGCCTTGCTGTTTGGCCACTTCTACGCCCAGAACTTCGACTTCGGGAATGGCGCCGCCGCCTGAACTGGTTCCTCATCACACAACGTTTGCCCAGCTTGAGTCAGCAGAGGTTCTAATCTGCAGGCCAATTAGTTTGGGAAGTAGCACGAATAGTTGAGCAGCTTGAAACATTAGAGGCCATTGAATGTCGAAGTAGCGGAACCAAAGAACAGCCGCATCGCCACCTTGCACACGTGGGAAACCCGCTTGCCGTTCAGCGACATTAGAGCATGGACAGAATCATGCGAGTGTTGCAGCCGTCGAGACCTTTTCGTCGACGCGACGGCACAGCAGAAATGGAAGCAGCCGCTCCCGACGCTCTGCGATCGTCAGACAACGCGTCACGTTTGACAGAAACGTCGCCCGCGAGACTTCCAAATCATGCGACGGCGCACGAGAAGCCGCAACAGCGAATCGCTCACGTGGACGATCCTGACCGTACGATCCGAGAGGCCGAGCTAGAAGCATCGGACGGCGGAGAGGGCCTGCTAGCGAGATGGAGGATCCATAGAAGCCGATTGGCTAATAACCGCATCCGGACGAGTAAATACACGCTGCTAACCTTCCTCCCTCGCAACCTATTTGAGCAGTTTCATCGCGTCGCGTACATTTACTTCCTCGTGCTAATCTTAATCAACCAGATCCCGCAGCTCGCGATCTTCGGCCGTTACATCTCCGTCATTCCGCTGCTCTCCGTGCTGACGGTAACGGCGATTAAAGACGCCTTCGAGGACTGGCGACGCCACCGCGCCGACGCGCAGGAGAATGGGCGCGAGTGCTTCGTGTACCGCGGGGGCCAGTGGTGCTCTGCCACGTGGCAGAGCATTCGCGTGGGAGAGTTGGTGCATGTACGGGGGGACACGACGGTTCCGTGCGACATCGTGCTTCTGGCGTCTAGCGACCCGTCGGGTCGCGCGTTTGTGGAGACAATGAATCTGGACGGCGAGACGAACCTCAAAACCAGGTACAGTGTTTCTGCTGCTTTAAAAAGCACTGAGTCGGCCGCTGGTGTAGCAGGGGGCAGGGATAGCATAGGTGGTGGTGGCAATGATGGCGGTCCCCCTTTGAACCATGATCAGGAGCAGCAGCCTCAGCATCAGCTTCAGCAGCAGCTTCAGCAGCAGCCTCGGCAGAGCGGGACGCAGAAGCATAGAAAGAAGCAGCAGCGCAACAGTCGAGCCAGCTGCCTGCAAGCGCAGCAGCACGGCAGCAGTCTAGCCAGCTCCCTGCTGCAGAAGCAGGGCGAAGGAGCAGAAGGGTGGCGGGGGTGGGTGCTAACGTGCGAGGCCCCGTCGCGGAACATCTACGAGTTCTCAGGTTTCCTGCAGCAGCCGTCTGGGAATAGCAGTACTGAGAGCACCACCGCCAGCACCAGCGGCACGTCTGGTACCAATCACAACCCATGCGTTGATGCACGTGGTGGCGATTCCAGTGGAGCTGAGGAGGCCGCTGCCGCTGCTGCCGCTGCTGCTGCTGATGCTGTTGATGCTGTGTTAGATGCTGATGAAAGCAATGGGACGAAATTCGGCTTTGGGAAAGACGCTAACGCTACTGGTTGTGGCACGAGCAGCAGCACTAGTGCTGGCAGCACCACCACCGCCAGCACCATTAGCACCTGCACCAGCCATATCACCACCACCATTAGCCCTAGCAATACCCCTGAGGCTCCTGCCAGTAGCAGCGTGGCTGTGGGACCGCTAAACGTTTTACTTAGAGGGTGCGAGGTGCGCAACACAGCGTGGGTGGAGGGCGTTGCAGTGTACACTGGCGGCGACTGCAAGGTGGTACTTAACTCTGTGGGCGCACAGTCCAAGCGCAGCCGCATAGAGTCACACCTAGACCGAGATATGCTCCTCCTCGCGCTTCTCCTCACTCTGCTCTGCCTGATCTGTGCTATCGGCATGGGCGTGTGGCTTGGCAGTCATGACCTACCAGCTCTGCCGTACTACGACGTGAGTTATGATTACCTGGGCGTGGGAGGGGAGGCGGCGCTGAACTTCTTCGCAACGCTGATTCTGCTGCAGGTGCTGGTGCCGATATCGCTGTATATTTCCATGGAGCTGGTGAGGATTGTTCAGGCTGTGCTCATGACGTGCGACCGGCACATGTGTGACGAGGAGGGGGAGAGGGAAGCGGAGGCGAGGGCGGGGTGGAGGAGACACTGGGTGGGGAGTGGGAGGGGAATGAGGATTGGCCGATGGGGGAGGAAAAGGAAACGCGTGGGAGAGGTGAAGGGAGGCGAGGAGGCGGCGGAGGGGCAGGGGGAGGAGGTTGGGAATGGGGCGGAGGTGGGAGCGGCGGGGTTGGGTAATGGGAAGGGGAGCGGAGGTGGTGATGGTGGTGTCAGTGGCGGCAAGAGCGAGAGTGGATTGCTGTGCCGTGCGTTGAACATTAATGAGGATCTGGGGCAGGTGAGGCACGTGCTGACGGACAAGACCGGCACACTCACTGAGAACCGCATGGCCTTCCACTCCTGCTCCGTTGCTGGTATAGATCTGCACTCCCTCCTCACTCCAACCGGGAAAGCCTTTGACACTTCTGCTGCTGCTGCTGCCACTGCTGCTGGTGCCTCTGAGTCTGAGTTTATCCGAAGGGCGTCTGCTGCTCCTGCTGCTGTTGGTCCTGCTGCTGATGCACGGGCTGTGGAGGTTCAAGGTGGTGCCGAACCTGGAGCGGTCTCCGAGGCTGATGTGGAGGCTCGGTCGGTGCAGCCGCCTGATGGTGTTGGTGGTTTGGGACCGCTGCAGCTGTCAGCAGGGTTGGCTCGGGAGTTTGCTGACGTGGCGGGGCCTGGTGCTGGCGGGGTGCTGGATGAGTTCCTATTGGTGCTGGCGGCGTGCAACAATGTGGTGCCGACACGTGTCAGTGTGACAGCGAGCGGTGAGCTGGATATGCATGCTGTGGGCGAGGGGGAGGATGACGTGGCAGAGGAGGAAGAGGGAGAGGAGGAGATTGAAAGGGAGGGAGATGGAAGAAGGGAAGATGCTGGAGAGGAGCACAAGGGAAATGGGGGGCCGGTTATGGCAACGCAGAATCGAAGTCCTGATGCTGCAGCATCTGTGGGTGCTGATGTGGAACTGGGACTGCTTGACGCTGCAGCAGTGCCCATTGCTGACGTGGCAAGTGATGACGTGGCAGAGGAACTGGCGGAGGTGATTGAGTACCAGGGCGAGTCGCCAGATGAGGTGGCACTGGTGAAGGCTGCGGCCGGCATGGGTTGGCAGCTAGTGCAGCGATCAGAGCACCACATCGTGATCAACGTCCGAGGGAAGGACGAAAGGTGAGAGGCTGTGAAGTGGGTCAACTTGAGAGGGTAGGCTAAGTAAAGGCCGGGCAAGGGGCAAGGGGCAAGGGAGGGATGCACTGGTGTGGTATGGGTTGCCACTTGCTGCTTCAGGCTTGGCTCTTCTTTGAAGGCGACTAGAAAACAGAACCATGAACATGATGTGCCTGCTGTAACTCAGAGTCAGACGCCAAACGTACACAGATCTACAACAAGGTGCGACCTCCACAGATCTACATGATGTACATCTGTGGAGGTCGCACCCTGTGGAGGTCGCACTCTGTGGAGGTCGCACACTGTGGAGGTCGCACTCTGTGGAGGTCGCACTCTTCCTGGCCGTGAAGCGTATCCGCTGTGCACACCTAACCTCTGTGCAGCTACCGAGGTGCTGGGGGTGCACGAGTGTGACAGCATACGCAGGCGATTCCTGAGGCGCCTCAAAACCCATTTATCTTCTCCCTAGTCAGTCAACTGAATTTCCCTCGTTCGTGAAACGTAGGTACGAGGTGCTGGGGGTGCACGAGTGTGACAGCACATGCGCGCGCTTTCTGAGGTGCCTCCCGTTTGTCGGCTAAGTGAGCCTTTCTTTCACGTTCCATCACACCTACCCTTTGTGCGGTGCAGGTACGAGGTGCTGGGGGTGCACGAGTTTGACAGCACCCGCAGGCGCATGTCCGTCGTGCTTCGCTGCCCGGATGGTTCCGCGAAGCTTCTCGTCAAGGGCGCCGACAGCGCCGTCCTCAGCCGCGCCGAGTGTGAAGAAGGTGCCGGGAAGCTTCCTGGAGGAGAGGAAGGAGGAGCATCGGGGAGAGGAGTGGGGAAGGGTGGGAGACGGAGGCGAAGGAGTGGGAAGGGATTTGGGTGTCAGGGGCCTCTGGGGGGTTATGTCAGTTGCTTTGTGGGGACAGCAGCAGGGGCAGGGGACCGGGAAGAGCAGAGTGCAGCAACAGGGATGGTGGTGGGGGATGAGATAGACGAGGAGAGTGATGGTGACGACTGTGGGGAAGGCGAGGGGGAAGGCGAGGGGGAAGGCGATGGGGAAGGCGAGGGGGAAGGCGATGGGGAAGGCGAGGGGGAAGGCGATGGGGAAGGCGAGGGGGAAGGCGATGGGGAAGGCGAGGGGGAAGGCGATGGGGAAGGCGAGGGGGAAGGCGATGGGGAAGGCGAGGGGGAAGGCGAGGGGGAAGGGGAAGAGGAAAAGGGAAGGGAAGAGGATGGTGGATTGGAGGAAAGGGAAGGCGATGCAGTGGTGGGTGCGGGGGAGAGTGTGCGAGAGAATGGTCATCTCCAGCACCAAAAATCCTCGCACGATCTCTCTCGTCAACAGCACCGCATTCTCTCTGCCACAGAGCGGCACATACACCAATACTCCCAAGCTGGCCTGCGCACTCTCGTCATTGCCACCCGCCCGCTCCCGCCCGCCGCCCTCCACGCCTGGCTCGCCGCCTACTGCTCCGCCGCCCGCTCCCTCTCCGCCGACCGGGACACACAGCTCGCCGCACTAGCAGACGAAACGGAGCGGCAGCTGCAGATTCTGGGCGCTACAGGCATAGAGGATAGGCTACAGGCGGGCGTGCCGGCAGCGCTACAGATGCTGAGAGGGGCCGGCATGAAGGTGTGGATGCTGACTGGAGATAAGGTGGAGACGGGTGTTTCTATTGCTCGGTCGTGTGGGCTGGTGAGGAGAGAGGACCGGGTTGTGAGAGTGAGTGCGGGGACCGAGAGGGAGTGTGAGAAGAGGTTGAGGGAGGTATGTGGGATGGAGGGGAGTGGGGTGGGGGAAGCTGGGGGGTTAGGAGAGGTGGAGGGGGTGGGGGGCGGGAGAGGAGAGGGAGGGGCTGCAGCAGTGGAGGAGGAGGAGGGTGATTGTAGGGAACGTGGGAGCAGGAGCAGCAGCAGCAGCGTTAGTTGTGGGAGTAGCGAGGTGCGGGGCCTGAATGGGGCTAGCCTGGGGGAGGACAACGGCGAGGGGAGGACAGGGGAGGAGGTGGGGAAACACATGGGCGCCCTGGGCTCGTGGCATGTAGGCAGTACAGCAGCGTCATGCGCCATGGCCATCGATGGCGCCACGCTGGCACTCGCTCTCTCACCTACTCTGCAAGGCCTGGTGAGAACAAGGCTCATGAATGCATGAATGCAGGGGGCTCGTGGCATGCAGGCAGTGCAGCAGCGTCACGGGCCATGGCCATTGATGGCGCTACACTGGCAGTCGCTCTTTCGCCTGCACTGCGCGGCCTGGTGAGAGCACACACACACATTGACATGAAGAATCGCCCCGCCTGGCTTGCCCCCTTTGTCTTGCCCTCTCTGCTCCCCTCCTCTAGCTTCCCTGCCTCCTTCCTCTCTGCCATGCATTTTCTGCCTGCTCTCCCTCCCGCGCCACCATCTCTCATTCGACCGATTTCCCTTGACCCCCATTCCGTTCTCTGGTGTTGTTTTGAGGCGCCTCAAAACTGGTGCTGTGCTCTGGGGTTGGGCCCGCCCCACAATGACTGTCCTATTTCCCCCTTCCGTTTCTCTCTCCTTCCGCCTCTCCCCCTGTTCTTCTGTGCCTCACAGCACTGCTCTGTGGTGCTGTGCTGCCACGTGGCGCCCATGCAGGAGGCTGCTGTGGTGGCCCCCACAGTGACAGTCCTAACCTCCTTCCCCCATTTCCTCTCTCCTTCCCCCTCCCATCTCTCTATCCTCCAGTTCTTCTGAGCATCACAGCGCTGCTCCGTGGTGCTGTGCTGCCACGTGGCGCTCATGCAGGAGGCTGCCGTGGTGGCCCTCACCTCATCACCCTTTTCATCTTGCTCCCCGCCTGCCTCCCCCGCCAGTTCTTCCGAGCATCGCAGCGCTGCTCCGTGGTGCTGTGCTGTCGAGTGGCGCCCATGCAGAAGGCTGCTGTGGTGGCACTTGTGAGGCAGCTGTCAGGGGAATTAACCCTCGCTATTGGCGATGGTGAGTTGATGTTAGGGGGAATTAACCCTCGCTATTGCCGATGGTGAGTTGATTTTAGGGGAATTAACCTCACAACTAGAGATGGCCAGTGGGTCTCAGGGGAATGAGCACTAGGTATTGATGATAGTGGTTGATACCAGGGAAATCAGCCTTCGCTGTTGAGGATGGTGAGTCGACATCAGGGCAATCAAACATCCAAGCAGGTGCACGGGGATGTGAGGGGCTGCAGGCTGTGATGGTGAGCAACTTTGCTGTCCAGCACTTCCGTATTCTTCTTCTCTTTCTCTCTTTCATTCTTTCTTTCTTCCCCATTCTCCTCTCCTGCTTGTTCACTCAGGAGCCAACGAATGAATAGGGGTGGAAATCAGAGGCCACAAGGGTCGGCAGACGGTGATGGCGATTGGCTTTGCCATCTCGCAGTTCCGCTTCCTCGCTCGCCTGCTGCTGGTGCTCATTGCCTTTGCTCACTCCCTCTTTTATTCTTATTCCCACTCTCCCACTCCTCCCCTCAGGCGCCAACGACGTGCCGATGATTCAGACTGCCGCCATAGGGGTGGGCATACGAGGCCACGAGGGGAGACAAGCGGTGATGGCGAGCGACTTTGCCATCTCGCAGTTCCGCTTCCTCGCTCGCCTGCTGCTGGTGCACGGGCACTGGAACTACCACCGCATGGCCTACATGATCGTCTACAACCTCTACAAGAACACCGTCTTCGTGCTCCTGCTCTTCTGGTGGGTCTCAAAATGCCCAAAAGTGGTTCGTGGGCATTGGTTGGAGGAACTACATCCGCATGGCATTCGTTTACAAAAAAAACTCTGTTTTCGTGCTCCTGCTCATGTGATTTATCTACCAATTCAGAACTATGTTCCTTTCTTTCTTTCTTCCTCCAATCCCTTGGTGAAACAGGTACTCTCCCTGCTCCACCACTCCAGCCATCGGCCAGCTGAGCCTTCTCATGTTCTTCTCGTTCACCTACACCACCCCATGTCATTGGCCATCTCAGAATTCTCTTCCTTTCTCCCTTTCCTCCTCCTCCAACCCCTCTCTCACAACAGGTACCTCTCCCAAACAGCATTCTCCACCACCCCAGCCATTGGCCAGCTGAGCCTCATGTTCTTCTCGCTCACCTACACCACCCTCCCCACCGTCGTCGTCGCCTCCATCGACCAAACCCTCCTGCCCGCCCGCCTGCTCGCCTGGCCGCAGCTCTACGGCGCCGGGCAGCGCGAGGAAACTTACAACCTGCCCGTGTTTCTGGCTGCCATGCTGGATGCCACGTGGCAGAGCCTGGTGCTGTTTCTGGTGGGCGTGGCAACAGTGAGTGGGCTGGATGGCGACATGTGGGCGTTGGGGCAGACGTGGTTGGTGGCGCTGGTGCTGGTGGTGACAGTGCATCTTGCGATGGACATCCGACGGTGGACGTGGCTCCACGCGGCTGCGATTGCGATCGCTATACTCGTTACAGTGGTCTCGATAGTGGTTATTGACTACATCCCTCTGCTGCCTGAATATGGGTGAGTGCCCTGTGCTATGAGATTCTCTCCTTGCACCTCTGCCTCTCTTACTCTCCACCTCTCTGCCTCACTATGTTGTGTGCAACATTTCCATGCTGCTAGATTTCCCGTCAACTCTGATTCGGTACTTCTGTCTGTAAAGTACCCTCGTCCGTTGCATTTCAACATCGTGCTCTCTGCCTCCACCTGCAGGTCATTTCGATTCGCCGTTGCCATGTCAACTTTCTGGTTGGATGTGCTGTTGATGGTGGTGCTGGCGCTGCTGCCTCGCTTCTGTTCCATCCTTGTCCATCTCATTCTCAATATCATCCTCTCCTCCCTCCCCTCCCTCCCCCCCCACCCAGGTCGTTCCGATACGCCATCGCCACGTCAACCTTCTGGTTGGACGTGCTGCTGATGGTGGTGCTGGCACTGCTGCCGCGTTTCTGTGTCAAGGTGGCCTACCAAAAATGGTGGCCCTCTGATATACAAATAGCATACGAGCACGAATGTGTACATACGGATCGTCGTTCACGCCTCGCTCTCTTGTAACAGTCACAATGTTTTAGTGCATTCTTTCATAGCCAGGAAATGTTAGTAAAATCTTAAGTCAGCATGCTGTGGAGTGGGGCCTACAGTAGTAGATTGCGTTTTCTGTTGGAAACAAGTAACTTAACGCTTCTGATGTGTCGGAACATCGAACTGTAAACGAAGCAAATAGCAACGAAGCAACAGCGAGTCAACCATCGGAGGTTGACAAACTGCTGGAGGTTATGCGAAGGTCAAAGGTCAGCGACCTTTGACTTGACAGCACGACAACAAGGACAAACAACTGACTCGATACTGAGCAGTTGCCCGAGTCGTCACTGTATCGAACCGCAACAGCAACAGTAAAACAGTTATTAGTTGCACCCTTTCATATTCCTTGTAATCTTATAAAAGCTTGCATTACTTTTCTATAATAAATTTATCTTGCCCTCACATACCAGCGCGATGTGGTTCAACGCTTCCGCAACTATAACACTACACTACTACTCAGAGTTTAGCCTTGAAAGATCCTAAGGGCCTTTCTCAGCCCAACATGGTATGAGAGCAGTCAAGGCAAATTCAACTGCATTCAAATCCTCTACAACATCAAAAAGCATGGCAATGCAGAAGGAGAGAAGCTCCTCCAACGGCGCGCCTAGCACTACTCCTACTCCACCTCCAGCCTCCGGCCTGCAGACAGAGGGAGGTACACCAATAACACCAGCAGCTGAGTCTACTGAGACTCCCGCAAACCAAACGACAGGCTTCGACCCAAGCATGATGGAGAAGTTTTTCTCCTTCATGTCCTTCTACGAACAGCATCAGCAAGCGGCACTTGCGTAGTCAAACATCAGCAACAACAACAACAACGACGTTACACCCATGAGTCTCGATGGCTCACCCTATGCGCGCGGAAACCAACAGCAACCCACCTTTGCTCCGTATGAGCCTCAACGTGGCTCAATCAGCTTCATGCCGCAACAACAGCCTCGACTTGGACAAGAGAAGACACTGGATGCACTTCAAGTTCAATCGCAGTTCGCGCACGTCTTGAAACTACAGACATCGACGCCTTTCGACGGTAAAGATTTTTATACCTGGTCATTCGAGTTTGAGCTGATGATGGAAGGCGCGGAGATCCTTGGGTTCTTCGACGGATCCCTGCCATACCCAACACACGGGACACAGTACGACAAACAACAATACACATATCAGTCGATGATGGCGTACACGATCCTGCTGAGGAACATAACTCCAAACAAGCAGCAGAACATCCGGTCTTACCGGGGATACGGCAACTCCGCCGAGCTCGCGTACAACCACTTGAAGAACCTGTACCAAGCAACAAACAGCGTCAATCAGAGCCGGCTAATGGCACAGCTAACAACAGTGGAAATGAAACCCGGCGAAAAAGGGATGGCGTATATCAGCCGTTGTCGCGAATTGCGCGACAAACTCCTTCGATATCTGAAGAAGCCTTCGTCACAGTCGTCATCTCCGGCCTTGGTCCTCATTGGCGCTCCACTCGAGCCATACTCCGAGCTTACGGGAAGATCTCCGAAGCGGCACTCTGCGCCGAACAACAAGACATGGACCTGCACAAGGATCGGCACAAGAAGAAAACGTCTGTACCCGAATTTGCATTCCACACCCAACGGCGCTTCAACAACTCCAACCGACAGAATAAACAACAACAGCAACAGCACGTACCGCCGTTCTGTCATCTCTGCAAGACGTCTGGACACCCTCGCACACACTGCCCAAGTCGACAGCAGTCAACACCACCGCAACGACAACTTCGGCCTTCAAGCAGCCAAGTCGCCTCAACACAAGCGCATCCCAATCCTCAAGTTCAAACTTCAACAACGTCGACAACGCAACCTGCACAAGGGACAAGAAACATCGTGAGCTGCATGGCGAGATTGTCAGACTCCTGCATCACTGAATCACCACCGTACTACTCACCGGAAGAACAACTCGATGAAAGCACCCCTCGCCGCGAGTCACTGGAGCCGAACCCGACATACGTAGCCATCGCCCAGAGCGAACCGTCCGGGAAAGACACCTGGTTCTTGGACAGTTGTTGCGGACAACACATGTGCTCCTCGGGTCGCTTCGTCCAACGGGAACACCAACTTCAACGCGAAGTAGTCATCACCGTCGCCAACAATCAGAACCTGTGCACACGACGACAAGGCACCGTTCAACTTCAGTCAAGAGAAACCAATGTCATACTACAAATGTCAAACTACTTACTTACTTAGCTACAACTTACTTAGTGCCAGCCTGTTGATGGCGAACGGCATCCACCTCGAAGCAAACAACACCACACAGGAGTTTAAGCTGTACCATGGGAAAGGAGGTCTCTACAACAGCAAGGCAGTGCTGAAGAACAACGTCTTCGTTCTCGACTTCGTCCCAGATCAAGGCACCGCCGACACCGACGGAATCGTCATCTTCGCACCCTGGACACATCCGCCGGATCTCAACCCCGACTTCAGCCCCGGTGGCTTGTGGTACTCGAACACCATACCGGAGGCAGAATGAACAGGAGCATTAGTGACAATCCAACAAGCAGCGACAACATCGGCAGCAGCAGAGACAACACCAATCGCGGGTCCTTCAATGGCACCAGCTCCAATCGACGATACTCCACCGACTCCTGCGCAGTAGTTGACTCCTACTCCACGAGAAGTCCACAGAAGCGCCAACTTCACCGCTGGCTTTTACTCCAACTCCGACTTGTACAGGCGCTCACCCGGACATCGCGCTGGCGAAGACATCTGGCACGCAAGAATGGGACACCCGAGCAACACGACGTTAAATAACACGATAAGAGCAGGAGAACTTGATAAAGACTCGCTACTTCTACCCGATGGAAGAGAACTTCAACGAGTTCGAGGAACATGCTTCACCTGCCCTGAAGCCGACTTACCGCATCAGCCGTTTGTCTCTCACCACAACCCAAGTGCGCCGGCATATACACCTCTGGAGAAGGTGTACAGCGATATACTGTACAACCGCGAACCCGGTCAAGGAGCATACAACTACGCTATTACTTTCATCGACGCCGCCACACGATACGTATGGCACCTCAACCTTCCGAGTCGCGACATGGCCTTCGAAGCTTTTGTTGCCTGGCTTCCAGTAGCAGAACGAGAATCAGGATTGAAGCTGAAAAGCTTCCAGTCAGACGGGGGAGGAGAATTGCAGTGCCAGAGTTTCAAGGACTACCTGGCAGAACGAGGCATCAAGAGGCTCATCTCCCTTCCCTACGCTCACCAACAGCAAGGCGTGGCAGAAAGAATGAACAGGACCCTCCAGAACACCATGCGCAAGCTGCTACGTGGCATGCAGCTACCCAACCACCAGTGGCCTGAGGCGATGGACCACGCTGTCATGCTGCACAACTTGCTTTCGTCATCATCGCTCCCGAACAATGCATCACCGCATCTGCTGTGGACAGGAAAATTGGGCAACACAAAAATGTTGAGAGTGTTCGGCTGCATGGTACAGTACCGACCCCCAGCTGCACGAGCAGGTCGCTTCTCCAAACGCGCACAGTGGGGGCTACACCTGGGAATCGAGAAACAGTACAACGCATGGAAAATTTTCGACATCAACACAAAGGAAACAGTGGCAGCACGTGATGTCATCTTCTACGAGCGACTCACGCTTCCGACATACCTTGCCAACCTCGAAGAAGACCGAGACCCCACAGGTGGCTTTCACGGTGACCGAGCCTTCGCTTCGGCAGCGGATGAAGCTGACTGGGACGAGCAGAATGTGGATGGAGCCTCGGAAGACGCCGGACCTCTTCCCTACTGTTCGGTCGACGTTCCAATGGACGACGAAAATCCTCGTGACAGTATCAACGCCGAAACCTACTATTATTTCGCCGACAACGGTTACGTTGCACCCGCGCAAGTCAACACCGACGAAGCAGAACGCGTAGGACCCAATTTCATACCTGATCCAGAAGCAGGAGAAGAAGCAGCTTATCCTGAGGACGCAAATCTTCCCCGCTACACACAGAGTGGACTCCAGATACTCGGACTTGTCACCGCGGTCCACGGCACGGCACCACCTAAGGAGCCTGCCACAGTTCAGCAGGCTCTGGGGGGGGAACACAGGGAAAAATGGCGCAAGGCCATGGACAAGGAGTTAAAGGCGCTGGAAGAACGTAACACGTGGAAGGTCGTACCTATCGGGGTGACACGGAACAAGACCATTCTCACCGGCAAATGGGTTTTTCGGGTGAAAACAAAGGCAGACGCAACCATCGACAAATTCAAGGCACGCTGGGTCGTACGTGGCTTCGACCAAGAGCACGGACAAGACTTCACCAAAACATTCGCACCTGTTAGTCGGCACACCTCACTGTGGATTCTCCTCGCGATAGCTGCCATGAAGCGGAAGAAGCTCCGTCAAATCGACGTCGCGAACGCCTTTCTCTACGCACCCGTCGACACTGAGATTTTCGTCGAGCAACCGCACGGCTCCAACGCAGACCCCAACCAAGTCTGTCAGCTACTGAAGTCCTTGTATGGCATCAAACAGGCTCTGAGACTGTGGCAGCAATATCTACACGTGTGGCTAATCCGCATCGGGTTCCGACAACTGCCGCACGATCAAGGAATGTACCGGCTCATGAAAGGAACTGACTACATCCTGCTGATCGTCTACGTGGACGATCTACTCTACATCGGCTCGTCCGATGGCGTCACAACCTGGTTCGAAGGGGAGCTGCAGCGGAACTTGACACTCACCGTCCCATCCACCTTGACACAATACCTCAGGCTCAACATACAAGAAGAAGAGAACGCGTGTTATCTCAGCGCCGCAAAATACGCCGACACCATCGCCAAACGCTTCTGATTAACTCCAACTGCTATCTCCACACCGTACCGCTACACCTCCGCGAGCTACGAAGGAATCTCCGCACCACTCAAGCCCGCCGGCATACGCGACTATCAACGAAAACTAGGATGTCTACTATTCGCAGCCGTCACCTGCCGACCAGA